ATTATTGTATCAATTTCGTGTTTCTGCTCTCAATTCTCTGATCTTAAACAAGATGTGTATTTTACTCGGAAATATACATGTACATATGCTTAGATCCTACACTAAAACTTTGATTAAATGCAGCTCAGACTTTATACGACATATGTAACACGAATTCAGGTCAATGCTATTTTAATTAGTCTTTCTTCATTACATGAGGATATGAGATTAAATTATTCATTTAGAATTCCATTCAAAGTTTTAATACTATATTGTGAATCAATTATTTTACAAATTAAAAATTCTAGAAACACTGTTAATTCAAATGAAATATGCCTTTAATTGTCACCAAATGTGTTCTTGCAGGTAAAAGTTCTATGTTATGACATACAATCGAGCAAAAACGCAGTTTCTTGGTATCGGTCGCGGAAAACGAACTACTGCTGTATATGCGGCAATTTCAGAGGTAAAACTGTAGATGGACATGTCATCATGCAGTCTCCAAAAATTTCCTAGAGACACAAAGAAAATATGGCTGCAGCAGGCTAGATTATTTCGTAAAAACTTTATAACTAAAATTTGTTCCGCACATTTTGTTAATAATGATGATCCGTCTGCAGAACATCCACTACCGAAAATTAGCTTATTAGCTTTTTTTTTTAAATAGGCCTATTCGAATATGTATCAGCATTTTAACAGTAATTTGTTTCGTTTTTTTTTTGTAAGGGGGGGGGGGGGGTCACACAGCACCTTATTATAGTACTACACAGATTAATACAAATCCAGAAAGAGACTATGAGTGGGCAATTTAAAAAAAATACGAATCAGTTAAGATTTCTTTTTATTCACAAACACAATAACATTTTTCCATATGACAGAGGCATTACACCATGAACATGTTTTCATAAAGAACGTCCGCGGAAGTGACTTTATTTATAGCGCATGCGTATTAAACACATTAAAAGAGTTCCCTTCAGGGGAAATAACTCACCTTTTGAAAATGGGGAATAGTGTAGATTCTAAATTGTTCAAATTATGACCCCCGGGGGAAGGGCGGGGCCACAATGGGGAATCAAAGTTTTATATAGAAATATATAGGAAAAATCTTTGAAAATCTTCTTCTCAAGAACCACTGGGCCAGAAAAGCTGAAACTTAAGTGGAAGCATCCTGGTATAGTGTAGATTCTAAATTGTTCAAATCATGACCCCCGGGGGAAGGGCGGGGCCACAATGGGGAATCAAAGTTTTATATAGAAATATATAGGAAAAATCTTTGAAAATCTTCTTCTCAAGAACCACTGGGCCAGAAAAGCTGAAACTTATGTGGAAGCATCCTGGTATAGTGTAGATTCTAAATTGTTCAAATCATGACCCCCGGGGGAAGGGCGGGGCCACAATGGGGAATCAAAGTTTTACATAGAAATATATAGGAAAAATCTTTGAAAATCTTCTTCTCAAGAACCACTGGGCCAGAAAAGCTGAAACTTATGTGGAAGCATCCTGATATAGTGTAGATTTTAAATTGTTCAAATAATGACACCCGGGGGAAGGGCAGGGCCACAATGGGGAATCAAAGTTTTATATAGAAATATATAGGAAAAATCTTTGAAAATCTTCTTCTTAAGAACCACTGGGCCAGAAAAGCTGAAACTTATGTGGAAGCATCCTGATATAGTGTAGATTTTAAATTGTTCAAATAATGACACCCGGGGGAAGGGCAGGGCCACAATGGGGAATCAAAGTTTTATATAGAAATATATAGGAAAAATCTTTGAAAATCTTCTTCACTGGGCCAGAAAAGCTGAAACTTATGTGGAAGCATCCTGGTATAATGTAAATTCTAAATTGTTCAAATCATGACCCCCGGGGGAAGGGCAGGGCCATTATAGGGAATCAAAGTTTTACATAGAAATATATAGGAAAAATCTTTGAAAATCTTCTTCTCAGGAACCACTGGGCCAAAAAAGCTGAAACATACATGTATGTGCCAATGGAAGGATCATGGGGTAGTGTAGATTTCAAAATGTCTAAATTATGATCAGTGGGGTAATGTGGGGATGCATTATGTATAACAAGGGTGAAATCTGGTAAAGAACAGAATGGTCAAAGCTTCTCAGGTGAGCGATGTGGCCCATGGGCCTCTTGTTATGATTTAATTAGTAATTACATGAAAAAATTATCAGATATTTTATGTAGGTAAATGTTTGGACAGGATTAGACAGAATAAGATATATTGAAATAAAAATCAGGTCATCTTACATCACTACAAATATTGACATATTAAATACATTCATTATTGATATATTTAGAAAAAAGTCAGAATTTTTAAAGAAAGATTCAGGCCAATTAAATACATCACAATTAATTAACCTTTATCTATTGCTGATCATTCAATAGTTAAAGACAGAATATATATATATTTTCTATAAAAGTCACTCAAGTTTATAGTCATGGACAAGTAAGGTATGGTCAATGTACCAGTAAGGTATAGTCTACTCCAGTATGCTAGAGGTTCATGGTGGCACCAAGGATACTTTTGATTTGGCACCAAGGTTTAAATCGAGTGAAAGGATGTTAACCAAGACTTTTACTTGTAGGAGTAAGGTTATTTACCAGTAAGGTTTGGGCATGCACCATAAACAATTTGATGTATAATTCATGCACAAATTAAGGATGGTAAAGTCATGCCGACTACTATTGACATTGAAGCTTATTAACGTTGCAAGAATGCAACTTGTGGTCTCTGCAAAATTGTACCAAAAACAAGAGCAACGTACAGTTTTAGGAGATTTAACTACAGGGCAAGTGGTATTACTTAGCATTCACCCACAATCCAATGGGAAATGTCTTAATTAATCTTACTCTGCCTGTTTGTACCTACAGGTCAAATAAGGCAACAATGAAAATATTAATTTAAAAACAGTGTACCAGCCTTTAACTAAGTAAATTCATTACCAAGTCCAGTATTCTTGGAAGCAATGTTGGCACTTGATGCTACAAACCTATTAGCCCAAACAAGGTTATGTTGAAATACATTTTACTAAAGATAACAGTTCAGCAAACATGGGAGGCATCTAAACACATCAACATACAAATGTAGTAACGGTGCGGGGAGTCCGATTAACAGACTAACATTGGGACTTATCTGCAGTCTGATCTGTGTTCACACTCCGATTGTTGACATTATGTAACAGGACAGTGTAACATTATTTTCTGGATTATATATACATGATGCCGCTACAAAGGGTGAAAATGAAATCTCGCTCCCCCAAGAGGGTCCGCTTTGCCATTGATCCGGAGTAGGTAAATGTTTGTCAAAGATCTCCGTAAATTTAAATCTCGATCTTAAGAAATTCTCCTGAACAATGTTTGTGATTATTATTATGGAAATAAATCTTAAAGGATTCTTTGGTACATTATTTAATCTTTAAATTATAACTGTTAATTGGCACATCACTGATTTTTTTTTTTTTTGCTCCAAGGTCCATGATAAATTGAAAGATGGTATGGTAGCTGATGAATTCTAACTAATGAAAGCTGAATAAGGGAAAAATTTTTCTCTGTTTTATCAAATCCTCCAAATATTTCTGTACCATTTTTGGAAATATAAATGGCATCTTTGTTCTGAATTGAGATATGAATTTTTTCCTTGGTTGTGGGATATCTTATGTTCTTAACCATATTTAATTCCTGTTGCAAATTAGTAATTTGTGCTATAAAATAAATTTTTAACATATTAACATTATTTTCAAATTCTGGATTTCTTTCCATCAAATTAACTCTTTTTTTCATGTAAATAAGCAACAATTAAAGAGATAATGTTAGTTGGTAACCAAAAACTACATACATGTACATCTTTAAAAGTTACTTTTGATAGGACTTTGCTTTCCACAAGGGAAGATAAAATGTATTCCATTGAGGTTTAGAAATAAAAATGTTAAAAGGGATTTTCTTAACATATAGTGAAAATTCCCTGCAGTATAAATAATAAATCAAAATACCCCCCCCTCCCTTTTCCCTTTAAATAAAAGCTAAAACTCGTCTAATAATTGAGATGGAATTTCTGATAAAGACAATGTTAAATTCTTATCTAATACAATTCAACACACAACTGATTGAGATTATGATAGACAGACAAATAGACAGATCAACATTTGTGGAAACTGTGCCCTAATCTTCCAATTTTGATGAAAATGAAAAATATGATCTTTCAAAAAGTCTTGAAATATACAACAACAAAAAAAACAGGAGGCTTTTATGTATATATTGTCCAGATGTTCCTGATTAAAATGTAAACTAGTTTAATTCTGCTTCTATAGCAACCTGTGCGTTTTTGATTAATTAGTGAAACATTAGAACCTAATAAGGAGATAAAAGGCTTAAGGGGTTGGAGAAGAAGTATTATGGACTGCAATGAATAAAACACTGGTCGTCATGATTGAACTTTGTAAAAAAAAAATAAATAAAACAAGAGAAAATGACCTTTTCATACAGAAAACACCGTAACAAATACTAGTTTTTCAATCACTTTTAAATAAAAATTAAATGTAAGTATTTAAAGAATTGTTTCTGTAAGAAATGAAAACTTCACAGTTTTTTGTGAATATAATTTTTTTTATCCAGGAATATAAATTGCCTACTATTACTTCATTATCACCTTGCCATATTAACCTTTTCCTTTAGAGAAAGCCACAGTATAGATATGTGTGTGTATATATGCTTTATGCTGATACTCAGTAGTGGGAGTTTTAGAAGGATAAATCTATATTCAATATAAAATGGGTTAAAACAGTGTTATCGGAACTCTGCCTTGGATATGTCAGATGGTATGTATAGGAGATTCCTGTATTGTCATGACAGGGCAGCTCCATTCCACAGAGGTGATTAGGAGGGAAATCGTAGTTCTGTCTGAGTCCACCAACAAATCGTGTAGACTTCCATTCGTGTCTATGACTGACAGATGTCAATACTCCTGTATCCAAACTGAGGTTGCGGTTTCTTTATAGATTTTTTTTTTACAGTGATATGAGTGACAATGAAACCCCTGGTGATGACCCCACGCGGCGCCGTGGTGACCATGAGGTGGTACCGGTCAGTCCTGAGGAGGTGCAGTTCCTGGAGGTACCCAACGGGAGCCACGGGGGATCAGGTGTGTCAGGGATCAACACCAGTCTCATCAACAAGGAGGGTAAGATATGCTGCTGTTAATATCACAGTGGACCTGTATCAAAGATAGAAATATGCGTTAATTTATTTTGATTGATAATAAAGTGACAGGTGTATTTTTACCTTCCTGTGGAAGCATGGCATTATAAGTACCATGGAGAAGACATTCAGATATATATACCTTCTTTACTGCTTAATTTTTTGGTGAATTTTTAGTGAGTAATTTAGTGTGGAATATCTATGTTACATGCTAAATACTGTATAATTATGAATGGGATGCTGTAGACTAAGCTGACTGCTCAGATCTTAATACAGCATCTGAATCTTGGACATTGGCTGGCAGCCGATTATTCTGCATGCATATAGACATTTGTCCATTAAAGGATTAAAATGCTCACTGCTGGTTATATAATTATATTCATTCAAAGGGATCTTTCCCCTTAAATTTTTCCAAGAATTCAATAAAAGTACTGTAGATGTATTAGAGTTTTAAAAGTTTATAAAATTAATCTTCAGTGAAGGTCATAGTTGTAGAAATTAAAGCAAGGTCTGTCATTAATTAAATATAAGTTAAATATCATGAAAGTTTAATGACATTTAGTCTAATTTCTTCTAGAAAAAAAAACTGTGTCTTCAATATATATGCTGATCTAAATATTAAGAGAAATGTTCAATTTTGATATAAAGACATACGTTTTATCAACTAAGGGCAGAAAGCTTATAATACAGTAAAACAACACACTTATAACATAAAGTGCCAGGGACAGACCATTTTGCTTTGTTATAAGTGTAATTTGTTATATCCATCAAGTTTACAATATATGATAAAGTCACAGTGAATGTGTTGTAAGCCTTAATTCATTATAAGTGTGTTCACTATAACCGTGTTTTACTGTATATTAACTATGGACGAAGAGATCTCTAAAAGCTTTTTTCAACGAACTTGATTTTTTATAGGGATAACAAAATTGATTAGACAAAAGTATTGTAATGTCTACATTATGTGATTGATTCAGCATATTATGAAGACGGCCTGTTACATTCAGTGATCTATACACCGGGCCTTAATTTGATCCTCTCTAACAATCAGACTGTACTTAATTCTACTCACACTAACTTAAGGCCCAACTCTCCATTGTTAATTATATTGTGTTGTCATCAGTGCCAATTTCTCAAAGATAATAATTAAATGAGCTTGTATATTGATTGGTTAAGCAAGAACACACCAATACACAAGACTTTTGCACAATTGGTAATGTAAATAAATATACAATCCCAAGTGAAAATTTTTTCAAACAAATCACTCACAAATTGCCTACAAATTACTTTAAAATCACTTATAAGTGATTTGTTTCAGTGATTTGTAAGCAATTCATTCAACAAATCATGCTTAAATCACTTTCTACTAAAATTATGACTATGATTTGCATACAATTTGTTATAAAAGGGTGATTTGCTTGTGATTTCTTTCCCATTTCAGACAATATCTGAGTGATTTGTTAGGACTTAGGAAATTGTTACAGTGATTTCTTCATGATTTGTTGAACTTAGCCATTCTTCAAGGTGATTTGAACATGATTTCTGGAACTTAGTCTTTCTTCAGAGTGATTTGAAGATGATTTGTTAACTTAGTCTTTCTTCAAAGTGATTTGTAAATGATTTGTTGATCTCATGGTTCTTCTTCAGAGTGATTTGAGAATGATTTACTTCATAATTTCCACCTGGCTTGCTGATTGGTCAGTATTAGAAACTCTACCGCCAATTTTCATTAATCAGATTTGAATTGAAATGAAAGGAGCTACATTGTGCTTTTCTAGATTCATACCTCTCTTCTTTTGTTGAAACTGGTGTTTTTTCAATAATCATGCAGAATATAGTTTTAAGGTATGTATAACTGTATTATGCTATCATTTCCTCTTGAGATTCAGTTAAAATTCCCTATGTTCACATGCAATTTATTGTTCTTCTACCAACAACAAAGTCGGTGGCAATCAATGTTTTAAACAAAATCTATGTAAAGCTATAAGCTTCAGAAAAGTACTGGCTTTTTCAAAGTGTCGAGACAAATATGTATTTCAGATAAGAAAACATTTACCAACTTCTAAAAGTCAACAATTAATGCTTATATCATATTCTGAATTTGGAGCCAAGTACATGTGTATATATCTAAAATACATGATGCCATCTTAATGAGGACACATCCTAGTAAAAGTTTATATTTTAAAATACACTTGCCAAAAGTTTTTTGTTCATATACAACAAATACCGGTATGCATGCATGTGTGTTTCAAATATTTGAGGGATGGTTACATGAGCATCCTACACACAAGTGTGTAACCACCTGGAGTGATTTGAAAGTGATTTGTTAAACTGAAGTGATTTGTTTGCAATTTATTTGAAATGATTTGTTTGCAATTTATTTGGAGTGATTTGGTTGCGATTTGTTCAACAGAAGTGATTTCTACACGATTTACTCTCAGTGATTTCGTTGTGATTTCAGGGTGATTTGCTTACAATTTGTTAGGAGTGATTTGTTAGCTCATTTGCATGGGAATTTGCATCACTTACAAATCATCTTCAAATCACTGATTCATTATTGATTTCTTAGAGTGATTTGTTTGAGGATTTTTTTCACTTGGGATTATAATGCCCTTTGTTTAATAATAAATTAAAAAAAATAAAAATTTTCAATGTCTGAAAAAAAATCAATTTAGAGTGTATAGGTGAAGAGTCCTTAAACATTTTGAGCCATGACCAATCATAACAACCCACAACACCTACATGTAAGTTCAGAAAAGTTAAAGGTCAAAATAGGTAAAAAAGATTACCACTATCAATTGTATAACAGTGTAACGTCAAGTACAGATACATTAGACTAAGCATGCTTAATACATTTATATTGATATGTTGGCATTAAAATCTTTGATATTTTTTTATGACAATCACAGCAAACTGAGAGTCATTGACCCGTTGTTATAATGATGAAGCAGAACGGTTGTAACTACTTGTAATGGTTTTAGTGCCGATAAGATATAATCCTGACCAGGACTGTGATTGACTGACTGTAACGATTCGGAGCTGCCGGGAATGATGGGATAGTTATGTAGATTCCGACTCCCACGCGGTAGATTGGTTCCTGTCGGCAGCCACAAGTCGTAACTTACACGACCTCATCAGCCGGAGTAATGTTTGCCATTATTGGACAATTACAGAAAATGACATCGCTGTCACACGTAGAACAGCGAGATTTATGGGAAGTCAATGGATCAAATCAATGTTTGATTATAAATCTCTCCCACTCAATATTCCAATTATTGATGGGTTACATTTATCAAGGAAAAATTTTTGTAATTACTTTTAAATTAACACTTTCAAAAAGTGGGGGGGGGGGGGGGCAAAAGTTGGCTTTCCTTAGAAGCATTTGTCAGCTTCAAAGATTTGAGTTTTATATATAGCTCACTCAATAAACACCAAAGTAAGGTTTATATCTGACATTTTCAATTGTTTGCAAATAATTTTAAATTCCTGATTTTACTGGAGTAGAACCAATGGCGACTCCAAGATTTAAGTGTGACGTCACACAAGAAAAACTTTTGTTGCTTAATTCTGCAAGTGATTTCTGTAAAATTTACTCCAAAAAATTAAGAATTTGAGGTTTTTAAGAATGGAAGGATTTTAAAAATGTCAAGAACAGCAGGGCTACAATTTGTTCATTAAATTAGATTTTTATCCACTGTATGTCATACTTGTATGAACTACAAGTGTATGTTTACAGAATTTTGCTTAAATAAAATACTTGGTAGGAGTAGTTTGACTCAGGTGAGCCATATGGATTTTGGGCATCTATCGGTCTAAACTATTTTTTGAAGAGGATCCACTCTTGAATATTAAATAATACTAGAAAACTGACCAGTCAGCAAGGGTCCCGCTGAGGGGTAGAAATATAAGGGTGCAACTCATTGAATGAGAATTTTACTTGAAAGATTACATTATTTGAAAAAAAAAAAGATTATAAGTAACAACTGTATTTGAATGTTCAAAAACCTGAAAATAGTAGCCTAGCTTGTATGTACATAAAACAGCTTGTATTTACATAAAACATGTCTTATAAAAAAATTATTTAAATGTGTATTTAAAAAAGATTTAAGCAGGTGTTTTATAAAATGCTAGCCTTCAGTGAATGCAAATATCACCCAGGGTTGACCTCAACTTCAAAACAAACATCAGTTGCAGACAAAGGTGCTCATTAATCTTCATGTGACAGATAAAGATATGCCTCTTAATTTTCTGCAGCAAGCAAAATAATTAATCCCAGGGGATTAATTGTACTGCTCTCTCATCCTTTTCTTCTAAATTTACAATAAAAACTTTTTTCAGCACTGACAGAATGGGATTATTATCTGATTACCTGTTAAAATTAACAGCAGCAAAATAAATAAATAAAAAATAAAATAGTAATAATAGAAAAGGATATCTTAATATTATCTTGATTTTAGAATTCAATAAAATTATCATAATATCATAAATCATTGTGTACAAGTATTTTAACAAAAATAAAGTATGAACATTATTTTAAATCCACACTTCAGAGAATGCATGTACACATTATTCAAAATTGACCTTAACTTCAAAACAAAGTTCATTTGCAGACAGAGGCAGTACAGTAATTAATCTCAATGTGACAGATAAAGATAATGCTTGGGATTTTCTTCATGTGGAAGGTTAATTAATCCCAAAGGACAATTTGCACAGCCTTCCCAGTTTACAATGGTAACATTCTCAGCAGTTATCTCTCTTTTCCCATTCATTCTTGTGCATAGTTAAGGAATCTACACCACCACCCCAGCTCTAAACCAGAAGACATAGAGAACCAAACTTAGCATCAAAATATGTATTTCTGCCTACTTAACTACCATACCAAATTTGAACTTGATTGGGCAACCATACAAAAAGTTATTAGAAAAAAACAGGAAATTCGTGGACGGAAGAATGACAGACGTACGGACGGACAGACAGACGGACAGACAGAGTGATTACTATAGGGCACCCGCAAATCCTTGCGGGGCCCTAAAAATTAAGGAGGAATGCCTCAAAAGAATTTTATTCAGTTAAAAGATTTTTAAGACATACCTTTTTAACTACGGTTTTAGCTCTGAAAGACAGATACTGTCTTTATTATTTTAAATATTAATTTTTTGGGAATGTTTCGGAGAAAATGAAAAAAAAAATTGTGTTATTTGCCAATCAACTTTTTGAAGTATGAATTCATATAATGTACCCTGGTAGTTCAGGTGAGCGGAAAGTGGGGGAAATTAACTTCAGTCTGTCTGTCAGGAACATGTTCGTTTCCACATGATATCGAAGCTTTTGAGCTTTTGCAATGAAATTTCATACCACAACTATGTATGGCCTAAGAAAGACCGCTATTGCCTTTGAGGACAAAGGTCAAGGTTGTTAATTTATAATTTGTCTGTACGGAAAACTTTCATTTCAGGGCAAAATCTCAAGAAGCTTTTGAGATTTTGCAATGAATATTTATATACCATAACTCCCTATGGCCCCATCTGTCCTTCTTAAAGTGCCCCCCTCCCCACTTTCATTTATAAATATATTACAAAAATTTTGTCTGCATGCATCATTGGTCTTTAATGGGTATTTAATTTTTGGAATTTTAGGACAACTGAAAAGTATATTAAAGAATCGTTTAGAGACGGTTGAGCATGTTGATAATTTGTCAGTCAAAGGTAAAAAAGGTCTGCTGTTTGCTTGCTTGATTTTGAATTTTGAAGAAATTTGCTGACAGTTGCAGCACCATATTAATTGTTTAACCAGGCTGGTTTAATTACTATACATTAATTAGATTTGCTTTGTTTGATGTAACATGATTGTTGAAGTTTTAATGCATGTAAATAAGTTTGAACATGCATTCTGTTAGTTTGAGCTATGCATGAATAAACTTAAAACACTCACATATGTCATTCTAGAAGTTTTGATATTTTCACAATTATTTCCTTTAGTAGACTATACAAAAGAAGGTTATAATCATCTAGCTAAGTAAAGAAATTTAACAGATGTAGAGAAAACACACAGATTTTACTATTTAGAAAGCATGCAGATAAAATTTACATCAAAGTGAGGGAAAACATGAATTTTTGAATCTGTTATATCTGAGTACTTCAGTGGAATTTTAAATTACAGTTAATTCTCGATAAACCGCCACCTTTTGTAATTTAAAAATCATGGCGGTATAACAAATTCGGCAATGAATTGAATTTCCCATCTTTAGGAAACAAGAAGTAGAGTTACCGTTCTTAGAAATATCATTTTCCATCTCTATTCTTATTATTACTTGTATATAAAGCATACTTCTAAATTTGAAAATACTTCAAGTAATTTTTAATGTACAATTTCGTTAAAACAAATTAAGCAGTTATGAAATAAAGACAAGTACATGTGTATGCATGTAAATCTACACATCTGATATTGAAAAAAAAAATGCTGGGTCGAGATCGATCGTTGTGATATATTGCTGATAGTACGTAAAGGGAATTCTTATGCCCTGTTCACACGGAGAGTTTAATTCGAAATAAACGTAAGTTTACTGTGAATTAGCTTCGCTTAGCATTCACACGGAGAATTTAATGCGAATTAGTTTAATTCGAATTAATTTACTGCGCATTAAATTACTTCGCATTATCTCCGTGTGAACGCTAAGCGTAGCTAATTCGAATTAAATTTTGGGGCAAGCGTAATGGCAAAATTAAGTCAAATGAGTTATGTCAGTGGTCAGCTTTAAGTACTTTGTACTATTTTTGAGTGAAAAACTAAGAAAAATGTGTTAATCACTAAAATAATGTGTACAGACACTGTGACATTATGTCAAATGCATCTGCTTCTGCATAAGGTGACGTGATTTGCAAATGACGTCATAATAGCCTTACTGATGCCTGAATGTCGAAGTAAAATTTTAATTCGCATTAGTTTACTTCGCATTAGCTGTCGTGTGAACGCAATTTAATTCGCATTAGTTTGATTCGCATTAGTTTACTTCGCATTAATTTACTGTGAATTAAAGTTGTCGTGTGAACAAGGCATTAAATAATTAAATTCATTGTTTCTGACATCATTGTTAATAAAACGTTCACAATTTGTACCTTATTATTCTTTTTAAAGCAAACTTTGCATTGTTTAAAGCAGAGATCATTAAAATAATATCGTTATCGGTGTACGGAAAAACGTTCTTGGGAAATCATTTAAATATCATTTTCACTGTAAAGTTACTTAATGCAAAAGTTATTTAATAACTACAGAATTTTTTATTTGTTATTTTACAGATGTTAAGCTTGAAGACAGAATTAGTTACAGTAGAAATATTAAATTACAAAAATGAAGCTAAATGATTTATTGTATCCAAATATATATTTGTCTTTCTATAAATATGAGTTTTAAAATGTTATGAATGTTACAGAGAGAAGGAGGAGACACTCTTCTGCAGGTAAATTAATACTTTCTGAATTTGTAACTTTTAATGTAAGAATTACAGACTCTAACCAAATTGATATTTTTATCTGCATACTTTGAAATCTAAAAAATCAATTTAATACAGCTGTTATCACTGTTTTCAGATGAAGATGATTTTGCATTACTTCACGGCAGATTTGAGGTACGTACATTAATTGTGTAGATCTCAATTATTAAAATTATTAAATAAATCAAGTTTTTTAAGTCAACTATAAAAAAACAACTTCATATTTATTTGAGATACAAGATACATAATTTTGTAAATTCCAATATTTATAATCTATCTACTGATTTTACTCTGAGTAGAAGATACCCCTGAATTCCTTTATATTTATAATTTGATGATTTTACTGGGAGTTGAAGATTCCACTGAAGGACTTCCATGCTGAAAACCAAGCCTTTAAGGATGTAGAGGACTTCCTGTTATTTATAATCTATCTACTGATTTTATTTTTACTCTGAGTAGAAGATTCCACTGAAAGACTTCCACGCTGAGATCTGAGCCTTTAAGGACGTAGAGGACTTCCTGTTATTTATAATCTATTTACTAATTTTATTTTTACTCTGAGTAGAAGATCCCTCTGAAGGACTTCCACGCTGAGATCCGAGCCTTTAACGACGTTCGATCCTGATATTTAAAGTCTTAAACTTTTTTGCCAAGTATATTTTTAGTTTCTACATACATAGCTTAATAAAAATGCAAATCAAAAAATGGGGGTCAATATGCTTCTTTTAGCGCTACAGTACATTTAATATGACCTTTCTGCACTGAAATTTGTGTTTTAATTAAAAATTACAACTTCGACGTTTTCCCTCCAATATTTTTATCCAATCAAAGCATGAAACAAAATGAACTCTAAGTATGTTTAAAAAAAGACACTTAAAAATTGTTACTAAGTAAAAGTTTCAAATTGCTTCGCATAATCAATTATTTGACCTTTCTGCACTAATAAAATGTTATTTTTCCGGCATTGAAAATATAATAGGCAAGAAAATTATTTTAAAGTCTTAAACTTTTTCTGATTTTTAAGCAAATAGGTGAAAGTTATCTTGAATATTTAGAAAAGAACATCAAAAGTGGGGGTATATGATGTACATTTTCAGATATTACCAAAAAAGTGTGAATTTTATGTTAAAATTGGCTCAATTTTTTCCTGAATTTTCAGAATATATTTACTATATTTGTCACACTTTGCTGATAGAATTCATAAGAAATAATTTAATAGATATTTCAGAACCAGCTTAACATATTTCACTGCAAAAAACAGCTTTGTGTGCAACCAGCATGGAAAAATAGGCATCCAAAATTAACAGTACTGTTATAGTTCAAATGGAAAAAACTGACCATTTTCGTCTATAAAACCTTCCGCCACAAAATATAGTTCCTAGCTTAATTCTACTTGAATGGAATTTAATCGCGTTTTTTTCATTGAATACAGTTTAATTTGCATTGTAGAATTCAGTTTTATTGTTAGAACCTAAAAATGATGCTTAATTTTTATGAATAAAGGACCTGCGCGAAATACGCTCAAAATATCAGGATCGAACGTCCTTAAGGACTTCCTGTTATTTATGATCTATTTACTAATTTTATTTTTACTCTGAGTAGAAGATCCCTCTGAAGGACTTCCACGCTGAGATCCGAGCCTTTAAGGACGTGGAGGACTTCCTGTTATTTATTATTTATCTACTGATTTTATTTTTACTCTGAGTAGAAGATCCCTCTCAAGGACTTCCATGCTGAGATCCGAGCCTTTAAGGACGTAGAGGACTTTCTGAGTGGGACTCAGCTGATGCTGGACCTTCAGAAGACGGGGCTGCCCCAGATTATAGACGCCATGGCGACACGGCTCCTGGAGAAAAAGGAGGTGTCCTCCCAGACCTCACTAGAGGAGGCCAGACACGCTATCTTCACCCAGGACTCAGGTAAGGCACAAACTGTAAATTAGGGGGAGGGGGGTCCTCCCAAACCTCGCTAGAGGAGGCCAGGCACGCCATCTTCACCCAGGACTCAGGTAAGGCACAAACTGTAAGTTAGGGGGAGGGGGGTCCTCCCAAACCTCGCTAGAGGAGGCCAGGCATGCCATCTTCACCCAGGACTCAGGTAAGGCATAAACACCCTGTAATAGGAGGGGGCTGATATTTAGTATGACTTTTCCAGGGCTTCCTCAAAGATAGCTGCGATCTAGCCTAACTCATAGACTTTTGATCAAGCTAAGTGAATTAACACCTGTTAATTCTAACCCAGGCTAGCCTTAGTGTTTGTTCAAATTCATAGCACTATCTAGCACTATATAATTTTGCTATGATCTTGTACACAACCCTGTTATAGGGAATATTGAGGATTATTATTATGAGTTTCAACTTGACCTTTGATCTTTACTATTTTTTTGCGTCGTTTCCTTTTTTTTTTACCTTGATTGACTATAAGGTTGATACATTTACATCCGCTGAATATTTTCTCCTTTATTTCTTAAGAAAACCCACTGCGTTAATCACTGCATGAACAACAGTCGGCATGTCGCCTGCACAGATTTCTTGATCAGTGGCTGTTCCATCAATGAAACGTCTAAGGACGTTCGCATCATTAATAAATAATTAATCTTTTTAATCTTACTCTAAATGGTTATTCAAACAGATATAAATATAAAAAATAAAATGTCTTTCTTTGTTTGTTATTACTGGAATGAACGGTCGCAGCTATTGCAGAAAAAATTTACATAACCCACTAATACGCGGGTTATGTATTTTTTCTGCAACAGCTGCTTCCGTTAATTCCAGTAATAACAAACAAAGAAAGCATTTTATTGTTTAATGTAGGATGTGCTTTTTGATAAATGTTAAATAAGATACATATACTAGGCTTACAGATTTTGTGACCCTGACCTTGATACTGCTATGTAACCTTGATTTTGGGTTTGACCCTTCTTTCATTTCCAAAAAAGGATAAAGTCAATAAAGTCAATTTCCATACCTTTGTAATATTATAAATGTTACTGATGTTGACGACAAATTATATGTCCTTTAAAGTACATACCTGATCTAGTTAAGAATAACTTTGTATATATTTGGTTGCCCTTTCTTTCAGTACACACACTCAGCAAGACCATCCAGGGTACAATGACGAGTGATGAGAGCGGCTTTGATTTTGATCAGAACTGGATCTGTGTCATGTAAGTCGGGATTTCAAAGGGGAAAAATATGAACAAAAGACTTGATACCTATAATGTATTGTCAGCATCTCCTTCATGCATTATAAAGCTCAATGGACCTCAACCCTGTATAGCGTTTATTAGGCTTTTCTGAACACCAACACTGAATAATTTTAGAATGATTTGCAGATTCTTAAGCTAAAAGAATTAAAATTCTGTACAAAATAAGGATCGATATTACGATGTCAAATATTTATAGAATTATTTAATTTTTTTGATTCCCTGTACAAGGTGTGATATTCCTACCTTGACGAAGCGCCACGTGGTGATCTCGCGGTTAAACAGTCCAGCTAATTTAGGCAGCACCAGTCAGGAGGTTCAGTTTGTGATCCTTGTCATGGCTCCCGTCAGAGAGGTAAGGGAATATATAGGTCTGTAGCACACAGAGTGACCAGGAAGAGAGAAGCTCTGTTTAGAGAGATCAGAGTTAGTGTTCGTGTCCCTTCCACAGGGTCATGCATCGAAAGAGATGCAGACTTAACTTAAGGACGTTCGATCCTGTGCTTTTGATTCGATTTTGGTCTAGACCTTTATTTCTAAAATTCTGCATCGTTTTTAAGTTTTAGCATTGAATTTAGATTCTACAATGCAAATTAAACTATATCCATTGCAAAAACCGCAATTAAATTCCATTCAAGAAGGGTTAAGCCAGGGACTATATTTTGTGGCGGAAGGTTTTTTTGGAAGAAAACTATCAATTTATCCCTTTTGAACTTAATAAAGTACTGTTAATTTTAGATTCCTATTTTCCCGTGCTGGTTGCACACAAACCTGTTTTTTGCAGTGAAATGTGTTATGCGTGTTCTGAAATATCTATTAAATATTTTCTTATGAATTCTTTCACTGACAAATATAGTAAATATACTTGGAAAGTCCAAAAAATTGAGCCAATTTTATCAGAAAATTGACAAATTTTTCGTAATATCTAAAAATTTACATCATATACCCCCACTTTTCATGTTCTTTTCTGAATGTTTAAGATAACTTTGACCTATCTTCTGAAATTCAGCAAAAGTTAAAGACTTTAATATAATTTTCTTGCTTATTAAATTTTTAATGCCAGAGAAATCCCATTTTGTGAGTGCAGAAAGGTCAAATAATTGATTATTGCAAGCAATTTTTAACCTTTTCCTAGTCACAATTTTAAAGTGTCTTTTTTTAAATAGACTTGTAGTTTATTTTGTTCCGTGCTTTATTAAGATAAAAATATTAGAGGGAAAACGTTGAAGATGTAATTTTTTATTAAGACATAGATTTCAGTGCAAAAAGGTCATATTTAATGTACTGTAGCTCAAAAAGAAGCATATTGACCCCCATATTTTGATTTGATTTTTAATTAAGCTATATGTTTAGAAACTAAAAATATACTTTACAAAAAAAGTTTAAGACTTTAAATATCAGGATCGAACGTCGTTAAGTAAAGAGGGCATTTTCATGTAAGTTTCTAGCTCACCTGGATATTAAGCCACAGAGGGATCACTTTCATACTAAGCCCTCATTCCCCTTGTGTGTTATGATCACATGTAACTTTCATGCTCAAATCTCCACAGGAATGTCAGGCCATGGAATGATCACTTTCACACCATTCTTAAAACACTATCTCTCTTGTCCTTTTTCCTAGAAGTACATTATGTTTTTTCACAAAATTGCACTTAAATCTGACCTGAATTTGAAACAATTTTAATTAATGTAGAAACCTATTTTTTCTATAAATAGAAAAGTACTAAGTCGTCGTTGGAGACAGCCCGAACCTTTGCAACCCTCTTTCTGGACATGGACTTCCGACATCAGCTCCTGCTAGCCGAGTCTGAGTTTGAGTTTAAACAGCTTCTTCACTCGAGGACCAAACTTCTGATCGAGGAGCAGGGCCTCCCCGAGAATCGCAAATCTCATCTCCTGCTGTCGGCCTTCGAACAGGAGGAGCAGGAGGTAGGAAACACCTGTCAATCAATCACAACTTTCAATCAAGAGGTCACGTTTTATCTGGATATGACTTATTTTATACAGGGAATTTTCACCTGTTTAATTTTCACCCCTTTTGGCTCTAACCTTGGGGCGAATTCAAAGAATACAGTATATTTTCTTACACTGAACTGTGACTGGGTGAATTTAAAATGGGGCAAAATTATTTGCAAGTGTGAAAAAGGCAAAAATAAAGCAGGGCAAAAAATAACCCTGTATACAAAATGTAAGTAAAACTGACTGTCCTGTGATTTATTTCAGGGCGAGGCTGCTCGATATCCAATAGGTCAGGGTCTGATTCGTGACTTTAAACGACGACTCCCTCATTATCTCTCAGATTATAAAGATGGTAGGTTCATACTACTTCATACTAAATGAGCAATTTAAAAATCTTGTAAAAGTTTTAAGAAATATACTTTAAAACCTAAATGTTACTTTTATTATAGGCATCATAGGGAACAAAACGATTCACAAAGTGACGTCCACCACATTTTTCTTGTACTTTGCCTGTGTGCTACCCAACATCGCCTTTGGAATGTTGAATGATAACAACACAGAGGGAATTATAGGTAACAGGATACCATTTTTTTTTTGTCCTTTACAAATTTTGAAAAACTACCCTTTTGTCTTTACTTTTGTCTGTTAATGGAAAAATTGTGTCCACAACTTGAAAATTGAATCAAAAAAAAAAATGAATTCTGTCTTTTAACTAGTAGAAGACTGCTTTCTCTCAAGGTAGTTTAACTGAATCCAAGGTCATTAAGGATATCAGAGGAATCAATTCTTACCTGTTTCTCTAGTGACTAAGATCCTCACCTCCTAGGTTCCAATTCCTGAACTACCTTAATTGGTGACCTTCACTCTATCTCACATCTCAGAGGTCAAAGGTTCATATCTGCTGAATCTGTTGACAGAAAATTCATTTGATTAATTTGGTGTTCACAAAAAACAAATGGATTTTTTTTAAACTGAGATAAAGACCGATTTGAATTCAAGGTCAAAGCAAAATAAAGGTCAAAATATTGATGCCACCTATGGTGGTTCATGAATTATACAAAACATGTATTTACCCATGATGTAATTACAATATTTACCCACAGTGGTTAATGGATGTATACAATATTTACCCACAGTGGTTAATGGATGGCTACAATATTTATCTACAGACTGTTTATTGGATGTATATAATATACCCATGATGTATACAGTATTTACTCATGGTGGTTTATTATACAATTAATAACCCCTTTTGAGGTCAACATGGTGAAATAAAAACCCGAGACCTGGGCCACGAGGTAACCTGACCTGATCGTGGCCGCTTAGCGGCTGAGGTCAGGGCAGGTCATCGAGTGGGCCAAGTCGAGGGTCCTTCTTTCACCATGTTGAACTTACAAGGGGTAATCAATTGTTTTATTATACCGATATATATATATATATATATATTGAAAAGTATGAATCTCTAACCATTATCAATTATCTTTCTTTGATCGGGATCGGAATTCGGTATACTCTGTGTAGTGAGGTTGTTTACATTGACGTCTGCAAGTCTTGTAAGTCTTTGCATCATTATTTACTGATTAAAACAATATTCGGTTGATAGCGACATACATTATTATGGCTTAATGATTACTTTTCCTCTACACAGTCAAAATCTGACACAGAAGAGCCACTTCTACATTCCATTGAACTGAATTGTAACGATATTTTGAAATGAGTAAAGCATTGAAGTTCACAATAAATTATCGTATTCTTTATGGTAATGCAAAACGGATCATGCACAATTTTAAAAACATATGTTGTTTTTTTCTCGAATAATTATTATTTTATGTAATAACTTCACTCAAAAAGGAATTTTGATAAAGAGGTCATTATTTAGCGGTCCTTAATTATAATGACCGGGTCATTATATCCCACGTGCAATGATTCCTAGGTCATTTTTGCTGTAAAGGGTACCTTTTGGAGTCATTATTGAGTTTTAAAGTTTTTTTACCAGCCAATCAAATTCGAGTGTTATCAATAGAGGTATAATAAAATATATTGTGTATTTCTTTCAGATGTCCAGAAGGTGTTGTTCTCTCAGTGTGTAGGTGGACTTCTGTTTGCCATCTTTGGGGGTCAGCCTCTGATCGTCCTACTGACCACAGCACCGCTGGCCCTATACACCAAAAGTAGGTCACTGACAGAGAAGCGAATCAATTTAGAACAGCTTCTCTTCTTACTGTTAAATTTAAAATATAATGTGTGCCTTTATTCCCTTTGGTCTTATATAATCTATTTTCAGCAATTTTTCTCTGAATTCAAAATACCTGTTGTCCACCTTTAAATTTTCTTTAGCATTTGCAAAAATTCTGACCCAACTGTTTGCAATTTTTAGTTGTTTTCAGTTATTTTTTTCAACATATATGAAGATCTTGACCCTATTATTTGCTTTTTTTCAGTTATTTTCAGCATTTGTGAGGATTTTGACCTGAACTTTCCTGCCATGTTTGCCTGTACTGGGTTGTGGAATGCTTTTTTCCTGTTTATTTATGTTTTCTTCAATACAAGCAAGCTTATGAAATATTCCTCAAGGTAAAGTATCAACATACAGTTATAACTGTATACATGTATGTAAACTATTACTGACCACAATTTTAATACATGATTCATCAGTTTAAAAATCAATTTAAACCAGTACAGTTATACTCCTTATATGCTCTTTGTATTTAGGTCCACGGAGGAGGTGTTTTCACTGTTCATCACATTTGCTTTTTCTGCTGATGCCATCAAAGACACAATCAAAGGTAGATAACTCTTCATTCTACTCAGCACAAGCAAAATACTGTTGAGACTATTATAAAGAAAGACAGAAGGAGTAAAGCATGTATAACTAATATTGCTAACTACTGAGTATACCGTAAATCTGGAAATTTTTACGTCGATTTATTTTTGCGAATTTGGGTCAAAAAGCTGTTGATTAATTTTTACGCTTCAAATTTTTGTGAATTGTCACTGGTGCTAAAAATAAAAATCACTGAAGATTTTCATATCAGGTTATGTTTCAAGTAATATGCCCAGTTAGAATACCACCAATATACTCACAACGTGGCAAGATATTGCAAAATCGCTCCGAAACAATTTTGATAAAAATACAAAAGGATTTGCACTGAAAATAATTTCTAAGTCAATTATAACAAACATTTTAGAGGTTGTGTATGCCTTTTAACCTAAAGTATAATCCAAATGAAGAAAAAATATAACTAATTTTCTCAACGTTTGGTTTTTCTCACCTAAAATTTACACGCCGCGTTTACATTTGGAACTTTCTAGTAAATGCACTGAGTTTGAGTTATCGCCCGTGTTGATACACGGTTAGATAAAATGGCAGTTCTCTCTTTATTGGCAAATTAATTGATTAAAATAATTAAAAAGGGGCATACCGCCTCAGTGCTTGTCAAATCATCGGACGATATTGCATATAATGAGGGCAATTTACGCACGGGTAATTAACTTGTAGTTATAGTAGACTAGTGTAAACAGGTTTCTTTTAAAAATGACCAGTGCTTACCGACGTCTATTCACTGAGTTAAAAAAAAGACACGAGTCCTCAGAAAAAAATTCTTCGCATGTTGATTTATTTTTAAGAAAAATATTTTTGCGAATTCAATGCACGCGCAAATTTGCTAAAAATTTATCTACAGTAAAAATTTCCAGATTTACGGTATAGAATGTATTGTACATACATATAGCACAGCATGGTTGCGGATGTGTTCTTTAATGGGTTATTATTTTTTGTAGAAGAAAATTGTGCAACATCATTTTCATGCCTGAACAATAATTAACAATTCTAGGTCTTTATTAATACAATTTTTTTTTTTTTTTGTTGGCTGCTAATAATGAAGTCTACTTGATTCTTGAGAGATCCCTAGAATTGTACATATAATAACAATTATAACCATCACTAGGTGCAGAGTCTAAATAATTAGCATTGTCAGCTTTCTAATCATAAATGGACGCCTTCTTTTTTGTGAGGCAGTATCTAGCTGTATTTTGTATGTTACAAGAATTGTAATGATAAGTGTTAGAAACTAGCTTTTCATATACTTCACAATTTTACTAGCAAGATAACCCACCATATTGCTTTTGGCAGACTGACATGTAATAAATCGCTAACAAGAGTAGAATTAACACTTTGTAGATTTTAACAAGAATTACCACACTGATGCCTGTCATCATGTCAATCACAGTAATCCAGCCAATCAGAGTGCTTCCCTCCTTAACAACATCCTAACGACGACCGTCAGTACCATGACAACAGGGAACTCCTCCTCTAACAGCAGTGTGGCACCCCCTGGTGGGGGGATTATAGAAGAATGCCTGAGGGAGAACAGTATTCTATTTTTACTGCTGATGCTGGGTACTGTGTGGCTAGGAATCACGCTATTTAACTTTACTAAAACGTAGGTTGTTCAGTAGTACTGTTATATAACTATAGACAGCATACCTTCCTTTGAATCAGATGTTCATTTCAATAAGATACTTCAGCTAACTGTCATAATTGTGTAATAATTATGAATAACCAGTAACTTTTTGAATGCATTGTTCACCACTGTGTACTTTCTTCATGTACTAACACTGAGACAGCTGAGATAGCACACTTTATAACAAGTTTTAATAACCAATAGTTTTAGTTCAACATGTGCATATTTGACGATATGGGATGTCTTAATACACATAATTACAGTTATTGCAATTCTATTTAATATGTTACAGATAGGATGTTTTAATATGGCAGTAAAGTATTACCTTTATTATTTTAGACCATTTCTGAATGCCGGTAAGCGTGAGATGCTGGCAGACTATGCCTTGCCTGTTGCTGTTCTTGTCATGTCCTTCTTTGGATCCTACATCTTCAGGGAGGTCAAAAGTAAGTACCCTACAATACAGGGGGTCAAATTGAGTACTATACAATACAGGATGTCAAAAGTGAGTACTATACAATACATGGAGGGTCAAAAGTAAGTACCGGTGTAGGGGGTCAAAGTGAGTACTATACAATACAGGATGTCAAAAGTGAGTACTATACAATACAGGATGTCAAAAGTGAGTACTATACAATACAGGGAGGTCAAAAGTGAGTACTGTACAATACATGGAGGGCAAAAGTGAGTACTGTACAATACATGGAGGTCAAAAGTGAGTACTGTACAATACATGGAGGGCAAAAGTGAGTACTGTACAATACAGGGAGGTCAAAAGTAAGGGTGAAACGTTTACTGAATTTTGTAAACGTTTAAACGGATAGCAGTAAACGAAACGATACCGTTTAAACGGGAGATATTTATGTTGGATTTTTATGGCTACTTACTATGAAACTCGAATTTAATCATCAATTCTTTCACTTTATTATAAGTATGAGTTGTTATTACAATTTCATTGTTGGTCATTATGACATAAAAATCTGAGGCGCATTAAACTCATTCACTATCTACATCGTCACCCAACTGCATTGGTTTGTTGGGCTACATACCGGACGTAGAAAAAGAATTGTAAAGATGGATTTTTAATCTCAAAAAAAGTCAAACAAACCTGCTGACTGTATCGGAACACTTTTCAAAGACTTGTAAAAAATATATTATATTTATTTAATCAAAATATATCAAGTTTTATATTTCAAGTGCCATAAAACATCGCCAGTATTCACAACTCGGAAATTGGAATTAAATATTTTAGACTTTATTGGGTTTTAGATATTTTTATTCAATATGTTTCCGGCATAGATTATTGCTAATCAAATGGTCAAAGACGGTGTTTCTTTTGTAAATTATGAAATAAAACAATTTAATGGTGTTAAACTTTATTTCTAATAGACATTGATAGTGACCTCCGTGTAAACGTTTACTCAATCTGTAAACGTTTAGAGCATATAATTGAAACGTTGCCGTTTACACGTGTAATCGTTTCGCCCTTAGTCAAAAGTGAGTACTGTACAATACATGGAGGTCAAAAGTGAGTACTATACAATACATGGAGGTCAAAAGTGAGTACTGTACAATACATGGAGGGCAAAAGTGAGTACTGTACAATACAGGGAGGTCAAAAATGAGTACTATACAATACAGGGAGGGCAAAAGTGAGTACTATACAATACATGGAGGTCAAAAGTGAGTACTATACAATACATGGAGGTCAAAAGTGAGTACTGTACAATACATGGAGGGCAAAAGTGAGTACTGTACAATGCATGGACAAAAGTGAGTACTATACAATACAGGGAGGTCAAAAGTGAGTACTATACAATACATGGAGGGCAAAAGTGAGTACTATACAATACATGGACAAAAGTGAGTACTATACAATACAGGGAGGTCAAAAGTGAGTACTGTACAATACATGGAGGACAAAAGTGAGTACTATACAATACTGGATGTCAAAAGTGAGTACTATACAATACAGAACATTCAAAACAGTTCAGTGTACAATCTGCGGTCTTACAATATCTCATGTATGTTTACCTATACATTTTTACATCTCTGACATGGTGCAATGGTTTGATTTCAGTGAAGCCGTTTAAGTACAAGGAGCGGGACCAGATGTTTGAGCTGGCCCCCCTTCACCTGCTGCCCGTGGGGGCTGTGTTTGCGGCCGCTGGTCTGGGCTTCAGTTTGTCCCTCCTCTTCTTCATGGATCAAAACATTTCCAGTGCTCTGGTCAATGCCCCCTCAAACAAGTAAAACAATTCTCACTAACATTTAGACACAAAATAAATGAATTATTTAGATGTCCAGCTCAGTAACAGAGTGTTATACTGTTATCATGAAAAAGAAATAAAGTTCAGCCATCATTTATAGAGATCTGATGTATGCGGCTTAATGCTGACATGGTAATAAAGTGATTAGTACTATATTTATTTCTCCATCAGACTTAAGAAGGGAGCGGCGTACCACTGGGATCTGTTTGTGGTGGCAGTCATCAACGCCTTCCTCTCCATCTTCACCATGCCGTGGGTCCACGCCGCCCTACCTCACTCACCGCTCCACGTCCGAGCGCTGGCTGACCTTGAGGACAGGGTCGATCAAGGTCACGTACACCAGATGTAAGTCAATGGGCCAGGAGAAAACGTTTCTGAATAAGTTAAATATGGTGTCAGAGAATTGCAGTTTTACATCTTTCTTTGACTTATTGATTAAATTGATTTCATTTAATATAATGAACAGTAGATATAGTATTAATTGATAAGAATACGTATATAAATATACCTGTTACAGAGTGGTCCACGTTCGCGAGACTCGTCTGACTGGGATTATTTCCCATGTGATGATTGGTCTATCTATGCTGATGCTGCCTTACCCCCTGGCTTACATTCCTCGCCCCGTCCTGGACGGACTGTTTATTTACGTAGCCATAACAGCTCTCTATGGCAACCAGTTGTTTGACCGCATACTTCTTTTCTTCACAGAACAGGTATTTATAGGAAGAGGCTACAAAAAAATATAAATTTAATACTGCATTAACCCTTTAGTTAATTTGATATCGGTCTAATATTGGTTTTCAAATATATGCTGACTATCACTCTGATGAATCAAACAAATATTCTTTAATCATTTTTTTACAGATTAATTATCAAAATGTTCCAATTCTTAACAGTGTGATAGCTGTCAAATTTTGAGCGAGTAGCCATGTTTGCAATCAAAAGTCTAGTAATCTTTTAATAAATAGTTACTTTACATGGAATTTTATAGTGTAATGTAAAATAAATTTGATTATTATTGTATTACAGTCAGCTTACCCTCCCAACCATTACATCCGCCGAGTTCCCCAGAGGAAGGTCCACCTGTTTACGGTGCTACAGCTGATACAACTCTTGGTCCTCTGTGTGTTTGGATTCTCCCCCATACCTTACATGAAAATGGTCTTCCCTGTCCTCATCATGCTCCTCATGCCAATCAGGTCAGTGTAATAATGTAAAACATCATGCTCCTCATGCCAATCAGGTCAGTATAATACAGCAGTGTAACTAATGTGATAGTGTAACTAATGTAATACATATACACCAGGCTCCTCATGCCAATCAGGTCAGTATAATACAGCAGTGTAACTAATGTAATAACATTAGACAAGTCAGGTCAGTGTAACTAATGTAATACATCCTCCTCCTCATGCCAATCAGGTCAGTATAATACAGCAGTGTAACTAATGTAATAACATCAGACAAGTCAGGTCAGTGTAACTAATGTAATACATCCTCCTCCTCATGCCAATCAGGTCAGTATAATACAGCAGTGTAACTAATGTGATAGTGTAACTAATGTAATACATATACACCAGGCTCCTCATGCCAATCAGGTCAGTATAATACAGCAGTGTAACTAATGTAATAACATCAGACAAGTCAGGTCAGAATAACTAATGTAATAACATTAGACAAGTCAGGTCATATTAACATATTAACACCAGGCTCCTCATGCCAATCAGGTCAGTTTAATACACAGTGTAACTAATGTAATAACATTAGACAAGTCAGGTCATATTAACATATTAACACCAGGCTCCTCATGCCAATCAGGTCAGTTTAATACAGCAGTGTAACTAATGTAATAACATTAGACAAGTCAGGTCATATTAACATATTAACACCAGGCTCCTCATGCCAATCAGGTCAGTTTAATACAGCAGTGTATAATGTAATAACATTAGACAAGTCAGGTCATATTAACATATTAACACCAGGCTCCTCATGCCAATCAGGTCAATTTAATACAGCAGTGTAACTAATGTAATAACATTAGACAAGTCAGGTCATATTAACATATTAACACCAGGCTCCTCATGCCAATCAGGTCAGTTTAATACAGCAGTGTAACTAATGTAATAACATCAGACAAGTCAGGTCAGAATAACTAATGTAATACACCAGGCTCCTCATGTCAGGTCACTGTAACTAATGTAATACATCAGGCCCCTCATATCAGGTCACTAATGTAATACACCAGTCCCCTCATGTCAGGTCAGTGTCACTAATGTAATACACCAGGCTCCTCATGTAAGGCCAGTGTAACTAATGTAATACACCAGGCTCCTCATGTAAGATCGTTGTAACTAATTTAATACATGAGGCTCCTCATGCCAATCAGGTCAGTGTAACTAATGGAATACATCAGGCGCCTCATGTCAGGCCAGTGTAACTAATGTAATACATCAGGCCCCTTATGTCATGTCAGTGTAAGTAATGTAATACACCTGGCTCCTCATGTCAGGCCAGTGTAAGTAATGTAATACATCAGGACCCTTATGTCATGTCAGTGTAAGTAATGTAATATACCTGGCTCCTGTTGTCAGGTCAGTGTAACTAATGTAATACACCAGGCTCCTCATGCCAATCAGGTCAGTGTAACTAATGTAATACACCAGGCTCCTCATGTCAGGTCTGTATAACTAATGTAATAACATCAGACAAGTCAGGTCAGAATAACTAACGTAATAACATCAGACTCCTCATATCAGGCCAGTGTATTTAATGTAATACACAAGGCTCTTTATGTCAAGTCAATGTAATTAATGTAATACACCAGGCTTCCTCATGTCAGGTCTGAATAACTAATGTAATACACCAGGTTCCTCTTGTCAGTGTAACTAATGTAATACACCAGGCTCCTCATGTCAGGTCAATGTAACTAATGTAATACACCAGGTTCCTCTTGTCAGTGTAACTAATGTAATACACCAGGCTCCTCATGTCAGGTCAATGTAACTTATGTAATACATCAGTGTAACTAATGTAATACACCAGGCTCCTCATCTCAGGTCAGTGTAAATTAATTTAATACACCAGGCTCCTCATGTGAGGTTTGTTTAACTAATTAATCATGCTCCTCATGACAAACTTGTCAGCATTAGCAAGTTATTTGACTCCTCATGCCTAACAGTGAAATTTATGTAACAAATGTCCGCATGCCTTTTGGTAACTTATGTAATACTTAATACATTAAGCTCTCATGCTGCTCAGGCCACTATAATTACTGTAATACATTATGCCTATCAGGTCAGTATACCTAATATGATCATGCTCTCATGCCTGTCAGGTTACTGTAACATACTTCAGGTGAAATAATTCTCATTGTACTAATCAAGTAACTTATGTAATACATCATGCTGCTTAGTTCTATATCAGATGAGTGTAATATCACATCTTCAACATGCCATTTAGTTTATTGTAACATATACATCAAGCTCTTTGAGCCTTGATAGTAATCAATTTAAAGTAATTTATCCTTCCTATGTTTATCAGGTCAGAGTAACAAATGTATTACATTATGCTCCTCATTTAATCAACTCAACATTACTTATATACAAGTTAGATAGGTTTTTTTCACAGGCACAAAATCACTCCAAAGTTTTTTGAGCCAAAATTTTTGAAAGCTTTGGATGGACACACCCACTAGACATCAATTGGAGGCGAGGTCAAAGTTTAACAAGGCAGCAGATTTATGTCTTCATAGTACAGATGTACCAATTCTTGATTGTGGTCATTTACGTGAGTGACTGTCAGTGCAGTTAATATTGATTTTTTTTTAAATTGTGTGCTGGAGACCTGATTTAAAACTTGTTTTGTGGGAAACAGAAAATGTTTGGGTTTTTTTCACATTATTGTATAAAATATATACATATTATATTTATTTATGAAACTCAGAACGATGAAGTTCTTATGAGGGCTTGTTTACTTTTAACAATTGTTACCAAAGTTGTTTCAAGTAAATCTAAGGATATTGTATTTTTTTCACATGTTGTGAATAAATTTAGTAAGTCATATCACAAGCTTTTCATACCCATTGTATCTAATTTAGTGTGATATTAGGGCATTGATTTTTACACAGTTCTTTATTTTACACTTAATTACTTTTATCTGGATGATGATTATGTAGAAACATCATTAATTTGCTTTAATTTTTGTGGATCAATCATCTGTTTGTTAAATGTGTGCATGAGTCATACTGTAATGTTACACATTGATTATTTTACCTCAGATTGGATTTAATCTGGGGTTTTTTTGTTGTTGTATATACATTGGCCAGAGCTGTGTTCTCTGAGAAATGTTTTATTTTTCTAGGTCCGTTAAGAAAGGTTGACTGTTGTTCTGTTAAATTAAAATGTTAATTGTTGAATTTTACAAATTTTACAAAGAATCTGTGATTTTATTGTTATCAAAATATGAATCATTTCTAATAAAGTGTAGATATTATGATTGATGAGTTTTATATTTTGAATTTCATTGATTACAAAACTTCATGGTATCATACTTCATTAATACATAAACTTTGCAGAGGATATTACATGTATGAAGGAATCACACAAAGTCTTCTGTATAAGATGTCAAGTCAGAGAATAATTAATTCAAAACCAGACAGGATTTGTATCAAAACAAAGTTCTATCCTTCTCTTCAATGTTTCTGATCTATTAGTATCAGTCAACTAAAATCTTACAAGTTAATAAAACATGTAAATGTGATGTATGAGCATACAAAATGTTCACTAAAATCGTATGGAAGAATGTTCATCACATTATTTGGGTGAGGCAGAACTGTAAATTACGTTTTTTCTATACCCCAAATATTGACAATGCTGATGTTACTGCTGGGGTCCTTAAAACATGACTCAGATTTAGTGTATTATCATTACATATATGTATTTACAATACACGAACAAATGGTCATATAACAAATAAAATTTACACAACTTTCTTGCTCAAGCCTTATGTTGAACAAATCTAACAATGTTCACATCCATGTTAAGTCTCACAAACAAAAATTTGCAAAATCTCAAAATGAAAAAGTAGAAATTATAATTGTAACTCTACCATAAACTTATAATAATCGAATAAAAAAGTTGTCCTTCATTTCATATTGTAACTATCTGTTTGTTTTCTACATTTAATATTTTTTTTTAAACCTGTACAATTTTGACAATGTGTTGATATTAATTGTTATTTAGAAAAAAAATTTTGTATCTCAATTTAGTCTTTCTTATTGAAATCTTGACAACACTGTAGAAGGGAAGCATTTTCTTGATCACCAGAGCTAAAAATTGTCTTCTGATTTACTGTTTCTCTCTGTGGGGTTAACGATGCTTGAAATCACCTTTCCCACAGAACATATATTGTGATTAATGATGGTTTATATCATGCCTGCCAGTTGTCACTCATTGCGGATGCAGACTACAGATGTAGCTTGACTGATTTTAGTTCCTCTTGGTGTGTGCCTTGGTACTATGATGAACTGAGCACTACAAGTCTAGCTGGACTGTTAATAGCACCTGTCAGTACTTTTAGTACTTTGATGTTATTGTACACTACAAATATAAACTGGCAGCAAACACAATGTCTCTCTTGATACTCCTGATCCCTGGATAGAGAGAAATAAGAAAATAAAATAATGTTCTGAAATTAATAAAGTTACAAATCTTGATTTTAATTTGTATTTTCAAGTAAACCTAATGAATTTTGATGCTAAATTGACCAGAGAATTCTAGATTTGCTATAAATATTACCTTCAGCAAATTTGTTTTCAAGTTCCGCATTTCCAATAGCTTTAGCTGCCTGCATAAGTTGTCGAAGGGTCTCCTCCAAACGCCTCATACAACGGATAATACTGCCTGGGATTTGTAAAAAAAAATATCATGTCTTAAACAATCGATAACATTCCAACTACAAGATATTTATACAGATGTTGTAAATACAACCAAAGACATCAGAGATTGAATTACCTTCAAATATATTGGTCAGTTTACAGATCTGAGCGAACGAGGCGCCGTTACACCAGGAGTTCACGACGTCCATCATGTGAGGTTTGAATTGTGTGACGTATTCTTCCTCATTCAGTTCTAACTTGGCCTCTATACTCACTCGCGCAATCCTCCTTGCTGTGTCCTGTTAAATGATCAAATGCATATTTGTCAAGATAAAATTAATATTATTGAAATTGTTTAATAAACAAAAGATGAGTTATGCTTGTATCATACAAACAATATTTATGTTTAGATACTTGGTGGCTGGATGGTAGACTACTTGCTTTTTACAGTTATCAGTAAAATGTATACATAATAGGCCACCTTAGTGTTAGAGACAAAGAATGACGCACAAGATTTACATGCATAGAAGGCTTCCTTAGCTCCTGACCTATTTCTTGGTGAAATTTACATTCTGGTAGAATGATCAAGAAATCAACACTACCAACTTTCAAAGAGTTATCACAGAGAAAACAACACTACCAACTTTCAAAGAGTTATCACAGAGAAAACAAACGGAAATGGAAAATAAAGGTGTCACATACCTGCATGATTCTGAGTGGACCGGAAAGTTCCTCTGTTAGTTTGGGCATCTCATTACCCGCATTCTCCTGGAACACAAAACAGGACACCAGGGCGCAGCACTGCTGATAGCTCAGGTCATTAAACACACCGTTAAATAAGAGCTCTGTTAACAGTAACTCGTCTCCACTACAGAAAAGGAAACCTTACAGAAATGTGAAATGTATATAGCAAAGACATTACTGGTACACATTTCTTTCATAACTCTACTTGATTCAATATATAGTATACATAAGAAATCAAGAGCACCAATTCAGAAATTATGTGACGATTGATATATATACTTCTTGGGACAACCACATTAGGTACAAGGTGGAAATAAGGAACTTGAATACAAGGAAATCTCCATTATAAGGAAGTTATATGTGTTCCCCATCCCCAAAATTTTAACACATTCTTAAATTGATATCTTCCTTCTAAGGAACTAAAATATCTAGTCTCCAGGATTTCCTTGTAAGAATTTTTTTGTACACTGACAAGGTGGAGAGATTATCCACAATCATTTGAACAATTTCATATGTACTGCTTTGACTTGAAAAACAATTCTATCCTACCTGCTGATCTCACAAGCTACCCTGCCTTTCAATTCAATGACGTCAGATGCCGTGCAGTAACCCAATCTTCGTAAAACCCGCTTACGACATTTTAACTCGTCCATCTGTAGCAGTGATTTCTTTTTCTTGAGTTCTGTTTTTAAGGCCTTTATCTCATTTCCAACCTGTAACAGTCCAGAAAAAATTCATAATAAAATCTGTGGATCTCTCAGAGTAAATAAAGGTCTCCTACTGGTTCAGCTAGACCTGAATTTTACTCTATAGAATTACTCTTTGTATTACCTGTGCTTTGGTTTGATATTGTTGGTACAGACTCTTCAAATTGCCATCTTTATGAAGTGGATGGGAGTACATTCTTTGTTCAAAAGCTTCAATTTTCTATAACACAAATTTATAAAACAGTCAATTTATCTGTGAAATATGTAAATACCCCAAACAAACAGATTATATAAGAGAAGTATAAACTCATAAATAGTATCTCTTTTTTTATTTTATCAAAACAGTCATCTATTCTACCGGGTAATTTAAAAATGTGAAAACAATGAAGTATTGAAATGAGATGCAAAAATTTCCATGATTATTCATAACAGTGGTCAGAGAGTCTAACACAATGGTTACCCTGACGATAACCTTACCCTTACGATGTCATTAATTAGGTCAGAGACTCTAACACAATAGTTACCCTGACGATGTCATTAATTAGGTCAGAGAGTCTAACACGATGGTTACCCTGACGATGTCATTAATTAGGTCAGAGACTCTAACACAGAGTGGTTACCCTGATGATGACCTTACCCTGACGATGTCCTTGAGGCCTTTCTCCTTGATCCCCATGTCTTCTATTGGATCCAGCAATGGCACCCCGTCAGGGAACCTCTTCTCTACTTCCTGTGTCAGAAAGATCAGCAGACTTTATAGAATTCAGATTCATCATTCATGTACGGAAATTCAGCAGGGTAGAATTAATCATGTTCTAACTCTTCCTTTTCATAACTTTTAGTAGTTTATGCAGCATTTCTTGTTACTGTAGGTCACTTAATTTTCGCGAAACCTTATTTTCATGAGAAAGTAATTGACTCTTTGTAAGCGAGACAAAATTTTCACGAATTGTGGTCATTGCCGTATATAATCTCAAGGAATACTATTAAATGCAAGAATGAAATTTTTTCGATTATACTGTCCGAACAATTGCGCGAAAATAAAGTTCTTGTAAATAAATAGTGATTCACAGCAATTGCTGAGTACAGCTTTAACTGTAAATAATACCCTCACCTGTATTGACTTCAGCACACTCTGTCTGTTGTCTAAAGGTCGGAGGTCACCAGGTATGTATAACCTTACTGCACTAATGGCCTGTACCAGGCGGACAAGAACAGGTACAACCTACAGAACACAGGATTGTCAATAGACTTCTTCTTGAAATATTTCTACTCAATATTAAGCAGCTAGTATTAAAGATACAACCTACTCAGTTCTCTCACTTCTTTCTTTGCAGATCCCAGACACCTACATTTCTTCCATCCTTTTTCTTTTAGAGGCCTCAACTACATTTGTACCTGCATATCTCCCCTCCCCCTCTTTTGGTGACCAAAACTACCTAAATTGCCCCTTCCCTCTTCTTCTGAGGACCCCACCTTATGACATTTCTCCCCTCCCTTCTTGGAGACCCCAAAAATCCTTATTTCTTCCCGCCCTCCTTTGGAAATGCCAAATACCTGCTTTCCTCTCTTTTACCTCTTTTAGAGACACAAGCAACCTTAACCCCCCCCCCCCCCCACATGCTTTTTTCTAGAGATTCCACTTACCTGCATCTCTCCCCTTCCTCCTTTAGGGCACGGTTTGATTGCGTTCACATCTTTACTTCGGGAAGTTTCTTTTGAGAGGTTTAATAAAACCTCCACTACGTATGACGATTCTGATCCCGAGGGAGTCTGTATGAGAAATAGTCATATATAAAATAATATGTGAATAAACAGAATGGGTGGACTTAACTGGCCAGAAAAAATGCCGTAAATTTAACTTTCACAAAATGTTTATTTTTTTTCCATCATATAAACCCCCGATATCTTAACCGTGTATTTATGGTACGGATGTGAATTTTTAACACTTTTTTCGAGGTAAACTAAGTAAATATCGAAGGCATGGTGCCTGAAGATTTCTTGAATATCAATAGATAATCAGGGTCACGCGTTTTTCATCGTCTGAATACATAGTCAGCACATGTTTGTCGGCTGTTCTTAAGAAAACTGTAGTTGTATATTGAACAAAATAATGTTATATTAAAAGGAGGTGTGCTCACACTTAATTTAACAAAAAACATGTTCGATTGCTTCCATTGTTATGTCTTCGATTGACCTGTTTAATATTACAATTCATCACGTGATGTCCACCTGCGAATGTACTCATGAAAACAGTTACATTGTATTCTTCAACCTGACCTCGATCTAAATTATGTCTTTGAGCGTGTTTTGTTGTCGTTTTCAGAATTTAGCAAAATAAATATTGTTTTAATTTTTCGTGTCATCACATTTTTAAAATAATGACATCGCTGTAATATGCTTAACACGTATTCGAATTTCTGGAGAGAGAGAGAGGGATAGAGAGAGAGATGTCAACAATGACGAGATCGATAGCCCCGCCTCCTATAAATATTGATAGCGTGACATAAAAACCACTCCGGGTACATGTCGAATTCTGGAAGACGATACTCATGTATTGTTGCTTTAATTTTGATATATGACAACATGGCATTGTTTTTGCACAAATGTTCCACCTATTATAACCAAGTATATGTAGCTCTTTCGATTGCTCATAATATATTTTGGATTCACTTTATTTACAGCTTGGTAGAGGAGTCGCAAAAAGATCCAAAATAGGGCGTTAAATCCACCCATTCTTTATTTAGAATTTCAATTGTTGATTAAAATTAAATAAGTGTATTAATGAATTAAGGTATATATAAATATTAGGGATGTCAACGAGTACCTGGTACTAGATTGAACGTCCGAATACTAAAATTTGTACTGGGTTACTTGGATGTGTATATTTTCTTATTTCAAATTACATATTTTTATAAAAAAATTATCAAAAATAATTTAGATATGCATACAGTTTATCAGTTGCCACCAGTAAAACACTTGTTACCGCCTTTGGTTGTGCAGTAATTAGTGACCAATTACCTGGTACAAAGCGGTTCTCCCCTACTGTGGTCCTTAAATTTAATTAAGATGGCTTCAATGATTTGTTTACTTATTGTCTATTTTCTCCAAATAATTGTTAAATTATTTAGTTAGTATACGGCACTGAAATCGGACATGCATATAAATGCCGCTACCCACTTCAAAAGTGAAAAAATATTTCTCGATAACTACAGATGAAAATAAAATTTGAAGTCACTTTGTTTACAGTAAGTTTAGAGTATAAGGGGAAAAACAACCAACATATGAAATCATATTAGACTAGCCATCCCAACAACCTTAATTCCTTCTCTTTCGCAACTGTAATTATCACAAACCTGCATAACAGATTGTCCTCCTATTACGTTGATCAAATACATGTAGATCCCAAATAAGAACTGTAAACCATTTCCAATTTTTGATGTATTAATTGTGTCTTAACGGGACTCAAAATTAACACACTTGTATTTACATTTTACAGAGTACCCGGGTACTCGATCTGAAAAACATCCAAGTAACTGATTATCAAAAATTGACCGATTTGATATCCGCAAATATATGTTTTATTCAGTATGTGGAATATCAAAGAAGAAGTACATAAGGGTTTACCTTTTTAGTAACGGAGGTTTTATCAGGACTTACTTTACTCTGATTTGCTTTCTTTTGGAAATTAATGACTGCTCCCCATCCAAAATCATCATTTTCATTCTTCACCTGAAGAAAAAAACGGTGTAAAAAATCAATCAAAAAAAACAAATACTTTATCATGACAGATTCCTATAGTCCTCATTAGTTACTTCCAAGAAAAATCTTCATAATTATAATCTGATGATACTGTACAGACAAATCAAATTATGTACAGTGTATCTCAAATCAACAGGACTGAGAACATACGGGTGATAATTGATACCTGTACAAATCGACCATGTTGAAGAAAGGGTATAATATACTGAGGTTTCTGGATGTACATTACACAGTAAAACTGTTACCTGTATTAATCAACCAGGCTGTAGGAAGTGTACGATGTACTGAGGTTTCTGTATGTATATTACACAGTAGAATTGATACCTGTATTAATCGACCAGGCTGTAGGAAGGGTAGGATATACTGAGGTTTCTACATGTAAATTACACAGGTGAGAATTGATACCTGTATTAATCGACCAGGCTGTAGGAAGGGTAGGATATACTGAGGTTTCTATATGTAAATTACACAGGTGAGAATTGATACCTGTATTAATCTACCAGGCTGTAGGAAGGGTAGGAGATACTGAGGTTTCTGTTTGTGTATTACACAGGTGAGAATTGATACCTGTAGTAATCGACCAGGCTGTAGGAAGGGTAGGATATACTGAGGTTTCTATATGTAAATTACACAGTAGAAAAGATACCTGTATTAATCTACCAGGCTGTAGGAAGGGTAGTATATACTGTGGTTTCTGTATGTAGGATCGGAGCTCCTTGCCTAGGTTGTCTAGCTGTTGACGGATTTTGTAGTACGCCGCCACACTGTCCTCGTTTTCTACCTTCAGTTTTTTGTACTTTTCCTCTGTTTCTTTCAGCTCTGCACAGAAATAAACAAGAAAACTTAAAGGCAAATTGCAATTACAAGTGGAAGATCACTTATGAAGCTCCTATTTCTGTAGAAAACTAAGAGTTACTGTTTTCCCCTTTTTTCTCCAATGTGACTTGACCTACACTTATTCTCACAAGAATCTGTAATAGATTCCAGAGGCATAGTTCTGGAATTGATATACTCACTCTCACAGAGATCTGGTATGGCGGCGTAGTTCTGGAATTGATAGAATGACCTCTCTAACATGTATTCTGGATTGATCTCCTCCACACGTAACAAGTTAAGTACCATGTTGTACGTCAAGTGGAAGGCAGAGTTCAGAGGATCAGCCTGGCCCTGTAAATAAAAATATACATGTAATCATTGTACGAGATGTTTGTCGGAATTCTGTTTGACACATGTATGATGTTTGTCATAATACTGTACACATGGAGGAGGGAGATCATTTGATACCTTGACAATCTGCTTGCCGACTGAAGGACTCATTTTTTCGTCGACCATCAGGATGACGATTCCTCTGTCATCGATTCCACGTCTACCTGCTCGTCCGCTCATCTGAATGTATTCTCCCGAGGTCACCTAACAAAACATAAAACGTGAAACTCTGACTGATGTTACGAAAAATAATTTAATTTATTGTTTTCCTTTTCATCAACCAATGTTCTGGAGCAACATGACAAGAGAATCTTCTTTAAAACTCTGATATAATTACGTATGTTAAACTCAGTTACCCAGCGGAAGTCCTTGCCGTCAAACTTGCGTGCCGCTGTAAACAGGACGGTCCTCGCCGGCATGTTAAGTCCCATGGAGAAAGTCTCTGTGGCAAACAGGGCCTACACAAAATAGGAACCAGTGTTTACAAGTGTTGTGTACATTTCTTAATATCATGTCATCCAAAAGTCAAATAAATAAAAGGAATTATTATAACACCCAAATTTTTTTTTCATTTCAAAAATAATGAAGATAGGCAGAATATTTCAGCACAAAAATTTCTTTTACTTTGGTTGACAGTAATTGAACTACAAACTTCTGTACCAACTTCTGTATTAATTTCCACTTTTATAGCTTGAGATATTAGCAAGAAGAGATGAACTATGTAAAAGTAAACTCAGACCTGAGTCATTCACACTTTAATCAATATAAATAACCTTTATAAGGCCCTCAGAAAACAAAATCTCAATGGTTTCCTTCAGCAGGGGTAGCAGACCAGAGTGATGGATTCCTATTCCTTTCCTCAGTAGAGGTAACACATTCTCCACCTACAAATAAATTCATGACAGTTTAATTTCAAATACATATTGTAAATGAAGAGTATGACTTTGAGTACATACATGTTATGTAAAATACATATTTCTTTGTATAAAAGATACATGACAGAAAGAAGATAGTTCAACAATGTAGAAAATGCAATTTTTACCATCTACATTAGCTCTGACATCATAATCTGTAACAGATTTTCTTTGATATGTGTTTTCCCCTTTTACCTGTGTTAGTTTTTTTTCTGCAGTGAATTTTGTTAAAAACCAGTTTTACCTGTGTCTGTTTTTTTTTTAGGTCCAGGTATTTTTTAATCAGTTTATCTGTGGTATTTTTTTTTTCAGTTTTTCCTGTAGGGATTTTTTATTCTACATTTTTAAAAATCAATTTTACCTGTTACATTATAACCTGTGACAGTTTTACTCATTGGTAAATTATCATCTTTGACAGAATTGCCTGTGGTATTTTATCATCTGTTACAGTTTTTACCTGTGGTAGTTTTTTGTCCTCGTCTGACAGGTTATCTATAGCGTTGTTAAACACCTCGTCCACTAAACCTTTCTCCTCCTCTGAATTAAAGTCCAGTTTAGACATCTGCATGGCGTACGCCTCACAGTCCTTTTTACTGAAGCTGAACACAATAACTGGGGCAAAATTTCTCTCCATGATCATCTTCACAATCTTAAAGCAGTTGGACTCTTGAGCTGTAAAATTCATGACAACATTTTATTGACTGCCAACAAAAACATTTTGTTTTACATTTAACTTTTTTACTTTTTCTTGACTAATGAATATTCTCAAAAAATATTTATCTCTGGGAACAAAGGAAAAGAAATACATTTTATCATCTACATGCATGTATTATAATTATCTCATTTCCACAAGCATACTTGAGTCTTAAAACCTTCTCAGTATAACTCTTTGATATAAATACTAATTACTTGTAGCTGTTTCTTTCATTTTCCTTTTACACTGTACATGTACATAAATTGACGTATTCAAAATTTGGCGCAATCACTAGGTATTGAATGGTTGGCGTAATCATGAATTAGCGCTACATACGTTTATGCCATATATTGTATTTATAAATGATTTTTTGACAGTATTCATGAATTAGCGCATTTTTCTTGGCACCAAGTCCGCTAAAATATGAAGCCCGCTTTTTTAAGTACATATACAGTACCTTTAAATCCCCCCTTGCGGCCCCTCTGGTCTCCCTTGGCAGCTTCCTCTATGTCACGTACTTACCTTTAAATCACCCCCTGCGGCCCCTATGGTCCCCCTTGGCAGCTTCCCCTATGTCACGTACTTACCTTTAAATCACCCCCTGCGGCCCCTATGGTCCCCTTGGCAGCTTCCCCTATGTCACATACTTACCTTTAAATCCCCCCTTGCGGCCCCTCTGGTCCCCCTTGCCTGCCTCCCATGCATCTTGTACTAACCTTTAAATCCCCCTTTGCGGCCCCTCTGGTCCCCCTTGGCGGCCTCCCCTGCGTCACGTAACACTGACATTGCTGTACTGAAGTTCTCTTCCCTGAATTCTCCCTAAAAACATCAAAACACAAAACTTACATTATACACCTCAGATCTCCTGAAGATGCATAATGCATAAAAGACACTAGTATCTGCTTTCCTGCTGAAAAGGGTTTCAGATCTTGCATAATCAATGACAATTTCTTTAAGCAGCCTTCAACATTTGATGTAGATACATACATTTTCATCCACCACCAAATGTATTCCATCTCCTCCTGAAGGGAATATGTAATGTTGTAGAGGTGTGGGGCGGTAGTCTGTGTACACAACATGACAGGGCTAAAAATAAATTACAAGACCGTGTATTTAGAAAGAGTTTTGTAGTATATCAACCTATCATAGCAAGATTCAAATAATACGCAGTCTGTACTGTACTAAATATACTTCAATATCATCACAAAAATATGTATATCTTTGTTGATTAGAAACAGAGGTAGCACTTATCTATAAATGTTCGTATTAGCTCATGACCAATAAAGGCTCTTCAACTTTTAGCAAGTACAAGGAGTAAACATAAATATAAATATGCGTAATGGAACTTCCTCCTGCTACGCAATATTACAGGATATACACATGCATAGAGTAAATTTCAAAAAATTTTCCTTTCCTAGAATCAATTTTTCAAAAAAAAAAAACATGAAAACAAGGGAGACAACTTTGAGACTCACAACACTGAGAATCTGAATCTATTGTAAGGATGGGTCACCTGTTTGTGGAGATGACAGATCCACTCAGCGAACTGTCGGGCGTTAGGTATGGTGGCCGACAGGAAGACGTAGTGAACGTTGTCAGGGAGTAAGATAATGGTCTCCTCCCAAACTACGCCTCTCTCTACATACAGAATAAAAACATCATTTTCAGACAATACATTACATCATCTAAAAACATCATGCTCAGCCAATACATTCTATCATACAAATACACCATGTTAAGACATTCCAGATCTCTAAATTATCAAAAAATTCACAATCTTTAAGATTAAAATTGGTAACAAATATTATTACAGGTAGACTTGTCTAACCCCCTCCCCAGTTTTTTTACCTTTGTCTCTCATGTAGTGAATTTCATCAAACACGACCCAGCCCACCTCCCTCATGACCTCTGACCCCCTGTACAGCATGCTCCTCAAAATCTGTAAGAAAAATTTTTACAAGTATGCACCATGAACCAACAAGAGGCCCATGGGCCACATTGCTTACCTGAGAAGCTTTGACCATGGGATGCTGTTCTTCACCAGATTTCCCCCTTGTAATACATATTGTGACCCCACCCTACCCCACTAATCATAATTTGGACAATTTGAAATCTACACTATCCTAGTAATGTTCCATATAAGTTTCAGCTTTTCTGGCCCAGTGGTTCTTGAGAAGATTTTTAAAGATTTTTCCTATATATTTCTATGTAAAAGTTTGATTCCCCATTGTGGCCCCGCCTAACCCCGGGGTTCATGATTTGAACAATTTAGAATCTACACTAACCCAGGATGCTTCCACATAAGTATCAGCTTTTCTGGCCCAGTGGTTCTTGAGAAGAAGATTTTTTAATGACCCCACCCTATTTTTGTCTTTTCTTTATTATCTCCCCTTGTGCGGGGACTTGGCCCTTTATTTTAACAATTTAAATTTCCCTTCATCTAAGAATGCTTTGTACCAAGTTTGATTAAAATTGGCCCAGTGGTTCTTGAGAAGAAGTCGAAATTGTGAAAAGTTTACAGACGGACGGACAGACAGACGGACAGACAGCTAGACGGACGGACGGCGGACAAAATGTGATCAGAAAAGCTCACTTGAGTCTTTGGCTCAGGTGAGCTAAATATTAGAAAAATCTCCTAGGTCCTGTTAACAGAATTAAAAGATAAGTACAAATAATTCTTGTGTTTGATATGTATTCATTGTTTACTAACTTCTGTGGTCATCACCAAACAGCTTGCCGCAGGGTTAATGGTGACATCATCAGTTATCATGTACTCACCTATGTGGTGATATCACCAGTGAACATTTTCGGAATCACGTACACCTGACAACTTACTACGGACTGCGGACTTTACAGGTGAGGGAACATGTCAAAAGCGTAATTTAACGAATATACCTAAGGTAGATTCAAGTGTTCAAGTGTATTTGGACGACTGGTTGATCAAGAACAAGAACCGGTCATTGCGTTTGAGTCACTTCGACGAAGTCCTTCATTTGATTCAGAATTTGGGTCTAATTGTCAATATACAGAAGTCCAACATGATCCCATCACAAGTTATTCACTACCTTATGTCAGTGTTCAACACCAGGAGGGGCCTATTGAACATTTTCGGAATCACGTACACCTGACAACTTACTACGGACTGCGGACTTTACAGGTGAGGGAACATGCCAAAAGCGTAATTTAACGAATATACCTCTACGTATTGCATTTCTTTTTAAAATTGATAATTGCAATCCAACTGTTCGATTAGAATACTATTATTAATTATTTTTATGAAGATACAATTAACCTCATGCAAACTTACAAAATGTTAGAGTATTTAAGCCTTCTTAACAATATTTCTTAATAAACATGCATACTGCTAATTGTTTATCTAATCCAAAATATTTTGTTATTTTCCAAACGTCTCAATAACTTAACATGAGTGAATTTACTCATTAAGTGTATCAAGATATACAGTGAATATCTATCACCTGAATATGGTGTGTGTATGTGAGGGGGGGTTAGACTAAGATCAATTTATAGATATTTATTTACAGCAAGAAACACGTATTAAAAAAATGCGCCCTCTTTTATCTAACCAGTTGGACTAAAATAACCAAAAAGAAGCATTTTAGAAAACGATTCGTATTAATCCAAAACTAACAAAGGAATCTTGTATTATAAAAATGTTCAATTAGGGTGCGTGTGCTAGTGTATTATAAATATCTCCAATTCATTTACATTCAATTTAATGCTTTAAATTTTAAGAGAAGTTTTAAAATTTTGCGGGGAAGTTGATATAAAGTGATTTACCCCCCCCCCCATAAGTTTAATGTTTGAAATATATATATTTTAGAGTTACGGGCCTTTTTATTCACGAAATCAGATATTGAATTCGGCATCATTTGGAAAAATACTAGAATTATTCATTATTTTACAGGTTCATGAAATACATGTACGTGACGCCGACTCTAGACTTTCATTATTCCTTTTCCATAGAAAAGGTATTCAACTTTGTCTGTCCCTTGTTCTTGTCGTCCATATATATTTTTTTCAAAAAAAAAAAAGGTTTTAGAACTATAGAGCCGGATTTCATGAAATTTGAAGCAGAACAATATATATTTATTTAAATGATAAATAAAAGCATTTGGTTTTAAGAAATAAATTAAATGTTTTCTGTGATGTATTATTAATTAATCATGGGAAGGGAAATGTTGCTGAAAAATCTAGTGAGGCGGTTGCCTCATTGCTACAATGGAAGCTACGCATAGGGATGTGCGATTTTATCGGTATACGGTATATCATGATTTTTTATTGCGCGATACTTATCATGATACGGAGACATAAATACCCGTTGTAGTGCAAAATTTCCCCCATAGCCAGCTTATCCTCACACCAATAAATCTTATAAAATACTCACGGGGAAATCTCACAAACACATATCCCCCTCTTTATTTCGCAAAGTTTTCGCCCCTCGTTATATTTTTATAAAAAAGAAATTAATAAACGACAAACGTGATTTTGAAAAGGTAAATGAGTGGGGGTTTTATTTCGTTTAATGTCCTGAGAATTTTCTGAGCATATATTTCAAGTCATGGAATTGCAGCAGACATACTAGTATATAGCATTCACAAAAATGTAAATATTCTGAAAATATGACGAAACAAACACAAAATGGATGTCTGGATTGGTATTTATTTTTAGACTTATTTTGGTTGTAAATGACAAACCTTCTAGAATATTAATAAATTATAAACTTACCATGGTGTTCAAATTTCAACCTTTCTGTAACCATTCTTATTACACTTTACATTTTTGTTGTCAAATTAAATCTGCTTTGATCCCATTATTATGGAACTTTTCATGAAAAATTAAAACTTGTGCGTTTAACATTGTTCATTTTACTTATTTAAACAGGACTTAAGTTGGAATTTTCAAAAATTTGACAAGAGTTTAAATATAATTCCTTAAGACAAAACAATTTTTTTTTTAGTAGAGTTTGAACGAAAAAGTATATGCATGGAATGAAAATTACAAAAGTTTTAAATCGATATTTGATTAATAGATATTATAATCTTTCATTAAAGCTAAATTTTATTTTGCACTTGGGTTAATTTGAAAATAATTTATTTGATTTAAAAAAAAATTCAATTTTTTTGTTATTTTTCGTATACGTATGTTCAATAAACCTGTTCACAATTTTTTTTTTAAAAAAGGGATATATCAATGTACCACCCATTCCCCCTCAAAGCATAAAGAACTTAGATTTCATCCAGTAAAAGTGTTTTGACAGAATTCAATATAACTACAACACAGAGAATGAGAGAAGGAAAATTGACTCTGGTGTGGGATTTTGTGGGTAAATCCTATACTCTAGAGATTTGATAACACACACACACTTTTCCGATAAGAGATATGCCTAAAAACTTCCAACACCGGTATTTAGGTACAATGGTACATTTATCTTTAAAATTATTCATTTATTTTTTCAATCTTTCAAGTAACAACTACTGAAATTACATTACATGTTGTAAAGGGTGAAAACATCTGTTTTTAACAAACATGATCAATTTTAGGTTTTTAAAAAAGTTCAAAAAAGTGAAATTTTGTTTTTCTAGTATATTTATTAGAAAAATGATAATTATTCATTTGAAATCATTGTAAAATTTGCTTGTAAAAATATCATGATATTTTAAAAAACCTATATTTTGGAGAAAAATCATGATATATCGCGATACAAATTTTGGTTGCATACCTTCATATGGTGCCCCTAATAATTCCAACACAATCTTTGATTTATTCACATTACTAAAAAGTATTACCTACACGTTTGTGCATATAATTAAGATACATATAGATTCATTTTAATTACCGGGGTACTCAATAAACACAAATTACGCTTGTAATTATGTTGAAAATAATAATTCCATGTTTAAATTGTGTCACATGCATGGAAAAAATTCATATAATGAAAATAGGTACAGTAAATTTCAGACAAAACGTATTTCTATACGTTCCCTGAAAGCGGTCTTTTGTTCGAAAGTCCGCAGTCCGTAGTACGGTGTCAGGTGTATGAGATTCCGAAAATGTTCAGTTATTGTGTACAAACTTCTGTGGTCATCACCAGACAGCTAGCAGTGGGGTTAATGGTAACAACACCAGTTATTGTGTTCTCACCTCTGTGGTGACATCATCAGTTATAGTGTACTAACCTCTGTGGTCATCACCAGACAGCTGGCCGTGGGGTTTATGGTGACATCACCGGTCATCAGACCCACGTCCTGGAATTCCTCGTAAAGTTCCCGGTATTTCTGGTTACTGAGGGCTTTAATCGGGGAGGTGTAGATTACTCTCTGTTTATCTCGCAAAGACATCGCAATGGCATAACTGTTGATGAGATAAATCATACATCACTCATTTACATAGCTGTCAGTTAGATACATGTAAATTATCTAGTACCGGTACTCAAAGAGGTAGGTGTTAGTGAGACTGGGTTAATAATTCACCCAAAAAAATAAACTGTATGTAGCTGTCATTCATATATTAAAGTGTTAAATCACTCAAAAACATAGCTGTCTTTTAACACCATAGCTATCATGCAACAGCATAGCTGTGAGATCAATGGCAGAGTTATCAGTTTATTGACGCCTTCCACTATTGTTTATACTTTATGACACAAGTTCTAACATGATGACTTTAAATGCCTGTAACTATAGATAGTTTTCATTAGAACTAAATTATAAAGTTTCCCATTTGCACCCATATTCAAGGTAAACATGTTCATATTCCATCATTATTCAACTAACTTTAACTTTTGATACTGGCAATTGCGGGGAAGGAAGGCATTGTTTTTCTGAAAAATATATATTTGTTTGAGCCTCCTTTATTTCATAACTTTTATTTCATAAAGATTTTTTTTCCCAAATATTTCTGCTACACTCTCTTAAATTTGGTAAGACAGAGGGAAATTTACCTCGTTGACCGCCAAGATGGCAGCCAAGGGAAATAACTCAAAGAGAAAATGTGTCAATGAGAACTATATATAGACAGCTTACACAGCGACGACAGTTTTCCCAGCCGATGTGTGAGCGGACACCAGGACAGACTGATTGTTCTCCAGACATAACAGAGCCTCTTTCTGGAATGGGTCGAGGATGAAGGGGTATTCCTTGGCAGGCTTCTCCATCATGGGCTTCAGGGGCACAAACTCGGCCTCCGGGGGAATAGCCACCTGTTTGGAAGAGAAAATTCTGCTTATCCTCACACCAATAAATACTTATAAAATACTCACAAGAGAAACACAGTGTATCTTTATTCAAAGTTATATGTAATTACTTCACAAAAGATTTACAAAAAAGGGTAATGATAAACTAAAAAGAAAAATACTTGATGTCAAGATCTAATAAATGATGCAACAACCATAATGGTGTCATAATTGATTTGAACTTTTTTCTCCTGTATGTTACAACTCCTATTAATGAAGCATTTTCACTCTATTAATTTAAAACATGAAATCATATAAATAGTATTCATGACATCAATTTTCAATCTAATATATAATTATATATATTATATGTATTCTTCATATTATGTTTACTCTCTGTACTCTATATGGCAAGCTGTTTTATGAATCCAATGTGTACTCTTCAAAACACACTCAATACTGTGAATTATATATACTGACTGACCTCGTGTAAGCAGGCCTCTACTGTCTCTACTCGGTGGACCTGGATTCTGGACATGACCTCTGTTTTCCTGAAACATGAACTCAAAAATTTATATATATCCCATTCTTATTCAAGCCATTCCTTACAAAGGTGTTATTTTTTTTAAATTTAAGTTTCAAGGTTTAAATGCAATAAGAGGGCCTTTAAAAAGAAGTACTGCCATTAGTTTCTATTGAGGACATATTCCAGTTTACCGTGTGACCTCTGCCCTCTGTTTTTTGGCCTGATGTTGTTCCTCCTCCACATTTTCTTCTGCCGCTCGTTTATTGCTTACAATGCTCTGTAAGAGTTCCTCTGTTCTGTTAAGAAATGATAATCTCTTCATTTGTCAAATACACAATGAAAAATGTCTGGGTAAAATAAATAAATCTGTTTTGGACATATAAATATGATTCATATTTGCTTTCTTATAAATTATTTGTGCATATGATATCACAGAGAAAATATAATTATGCAATGATCCAAATACTATTCATCATTGTTGGATATACAGTTATGTTAATGTATATTCTGTTCTGTTATATGATATTTGGACAAGATTTTGATGTCCAGCTAAAATGACCATTCACCACTTTCACTTCAAGCCAAACAGTGTAATGTAAAATTGAGACACAAGACAACAAATATCAAATCCCCATTATTATAAAAATAAAATGGACTTTATGATATATAAATCATGCACTCAGATTTAATATAACATGTATAATACAAATATACTAACTCCAATCAGATTACAACAGTACAACTTGAAACCCACCTTGTGGCATCAGACTTTGGAGGGCCACCCCCTTTCGATGTACTTGGCTGTTGCTTACTTTCAGCTCCATCAAACACGTTAAATAAATCGTCCTCAAAACCATCTGCCATCCCTAGATCCTTGTAGGTTTATGGTGAATTGATTCAATATTGACTTGCAGCATGTGTTTTCGGTTCTTTGGATTCCTAATTTTTTACCTTTCGATCCCGATCAATATAATACATTTCTTTTTAATGTAACTGTATTTGTCAAAAATCTTTTTTTTTTCACGAACATTTATATTTATGAAAGTGATCTCAAGAAAATAAAAAGTTTGTGTAGGATAAAAAGACGTGTGTTAATTTTGACGACGTGCAAGAAAATTATATTGCATCGGGATCGATATACAACTACTATTTTCATTTTCACCACATGCAAACGATGACATCTCAAGTTGTGTTTACGTGTGCTTTTGTCCCGTTCTTGTTTCTTTCCGTTGTAGGGAATGAGTTAGCAAGAGGTAAGTATAGATTTATAATGGTTTAAAATAAGACTTTACCATTTCCTTTTGAAATGGTCCTGACTCGACATTTTTAAAAATCTGAGTCTCAATTCCACCTATTCCCACTTGCAAAGAACAAGAGATGTTTTGATATAGTAATTATCAGGTCCAGGAAAATCACTATATTTACCTATATAGCTTAATTTACCTATATAGCTTTATTTACCTATGAAATATAGCTTTCTTTAGCTATTTTGGAATAAATTTCTCTTTTATGAAAAGCCACAAAAAGTCGCATGTAAATTATGGCTGATATTTTTTTCGAAAGGTTTGATAAAAACAACATAGGGCAGAGATAGTAAAATCGTTGCCTCTTTTAAACACTTTTTAACCAAAAAATGCATCACTAATGTTTGTATACCTGGAAGTGCGGTGAGGCATGACTAAGTGTGATTGCCTTGCATTGTGCTCAATTATTATCAATCAATTATCTTGTTGACCAAAACTGCTTTTCTTTGTTAAAGTAGCTGCTTACTCACAGATTAACTGTTATACATAGCCCCAAAAAGTTTAGATCTTTGATTGCAATTGCACAAAAGGAGAAACATTTTTAGAAGTGGGTTTTTGGTGAATCGTTTTCAGTCCATTTCAAAGTTGAAAACTAATATTGTCTCATTATGCGACTTCTTGTCTGCTTTTTATAAAACAAAAATTTACTATGAAATAGCTAAATAAAGCTATATTATATAGGTAAATAAAGCTATATAGGTAGATTTAGCTATATAGCTAAATATAGTGATTTTCCTGGACCTGATTATGTTTTCACAGTAATTAGACTAATTACACTCCATCTTAGATTTACCTATATTTTGTACATTTTAAATCAAATCAAAGACTTATGATAAGAATGATTTATTTTAATTTGATACCGGTATATGGATTTTTCAACATATTACAAAAGGATACCCACTTTAATGTATTGATTTTAAATCATTAAAAGAAATAGATTAATATTTTTAAAAATGAATTCAAATACACATGTAGCTGAATTTTAGAAAATACAATTAAGGGAGAAAGCATGATGAAATTCACTTAACAATTTCCCTTTTTTCCTTCAAATATTAAGAAAAGAATCTGACTTAAAATTATGATTTAAAAAAGCAAATTTACCTATATGTATCCTATATTCCAACGTGTTCATTAATCACTGTTTATACAGTATCTATATGTTTGTATAGATAATTATTAGTTTACACAAAAATTCCACCTATTCCCACATAAAATCTTACCTCTTTCTACCTAATTTTCAAAAAGTGGGAATAGGTAGAATGAACCGTTTTCTCTGTTCAATGATAGATAATTTGGTGCTCTGGACTATCGGGTGAAAGTTCTGCCAGGAGCAATAAGAACTTCCAATGGTGTATAAGGTCGATCATTCGTGTATGCATATATAAATATATGATGTTTTGTGTATGTGATTATAACCATTATACAAAAGTGTTAAAAATGTACTTTCTCTTTGCCCCACAAGGGACCTTAATTGGTCAATAAATACAGTCATTTACGGCATTTCAAATGTAGCTGCAGAGCTATAGCTCCCAGAAAAAGAAATATAATGTATATTGAAAGAACATAGAGCTACAAAGCCACCCAATAAAAAAAGTGTATATTTATTGCAAGAGCTTCAATGTCACTTATTTAGTTCTAAACAATCTTTAACTGTATTACCTATAACCATTGAAAATACCCCTCAAGGGAGTAGATAATCCGAAATTCCTCTTGACTCTAACCCCTGCATTTATAATGTGACTTGTGCAGGTGAGAGTCAGAGCGGAGGGCGGCCGGAGGCCATACTGAAAAGTGGGAATTCAGCAACACCAGCTGGTGTCGCAACTCTGCCTACCTTTTTCAAAATTTATTTCACGGAGCTAACTCACGAGATGCAAGAAATCAGTAAACAGATGATTCTTCTACAACTTAATCGTCATTAAATAGATGCTACCGCCATGTAAACGGCCCTATCACCAACAAATAAAGCATCACTTGAATTAGGTTGCCTCCTTGCCATTTGACTGCTTTGAAGTACACATTTTAGGTGTATTTTTCTTTTAGGCTGTTCAAAGTTAATTCTACGTTTAACGTCACATCTAAAGTTCAAAACCTACGAGGGAGGGAGGAAAAAAATAAACAAACAAAATTTTTAAACAATTGTGAATTTATTAAAATTAACCTATTCATTACATTAAAAACATAACAATTAAGTAATAAGAGCATTTAATTGATATGACACTTAAGATTAATTTCCCTAGCAGAGTTTTTCCTTAGTATGTGAATCAGTTTGAGTCCTATTGTTAGCAAACAATGTAGTCTAAGACTGAATGTGCAGGAAAGTGGCTTTTAAGTAGGCCTCAGTTGTCCTTTGGATTTATATTGCCACACGTCCATGGTACCCTGGAGGCAAATGCTTCTTCTTGTGGGAATAGTTGATCAATATCTACAATTAAAATTAATGATGACAATATTTAAAACTGTTCATATAGGTTGAAATATCTCAAATTGAATTATGTCGTATTTTTTCTTAGTACTCGATGTACTAGCATTAAGTTTTGAAATTGTGAATACTTATATCTGGACCATACTGATAGCTGTTAGATTATCTTTAATACCTTGAATTCCACACTAAAGACAGGATTCTTCACGTCTGACTCTCCTTCACTTCAAAGGCCCTTCTTCAGTAAGCTTCTCCCTGCTCAAATGGTTATGACAAGTATTATCTTTTCAAAAAATTGTAGCTATTTGTAGGTACATGAATTATGAAGAAATCAATTACTTTACTCATTGCTGTTCCTTTCGATTTTTACAGAAATATTTTTAATATGAAACATATCAAATAAGATTTGAATGATGCTTTTCACTGTATATATTAATCTTGGTTTTTGACACACTTTCCACTCAGTAAAAAAGTTTTTCGATTCTCTCCAAAATACAATAAAAAGTTCAGCCAATAAAATCACGAACTGAGAGTCTGTCACTGTCAGTTTGAACATGTGATTTGAAGACTGACAAAAAAAAAATCAACAAACTAGACTTTGTCATTAACTTCAACCATAAAATCATTGGTCCCAAAATTTTTAATTCACTAGCTTTAAGAAACCAACTGCCTTGATCAAAGCACATTTTCTGTCACTACGGGAAGCAGAATTCAGTCGTAATTGTAGAACCAAACCGGAACAGACATTTTTTCTCATAAACCTACGCGCGCGGGTGACGTTAAACGTAGTTTTAATTTTAAACAGCCTTATAATAATGTGGCAAGCACTTAATAAATGGACAATCTTGAGATGCTGAGCAAATAAAATTTATCTTAAACTTACCAGCTCTGACTTGTTGACAGGTTGGGGTGACAATATCGATTGGATGACCTTTGAAGATGGATTAAAAGCAGCTAAAGAACAGTAGGTCTTAGATTTTTATTTGTATAAACCGAAAAAATCAGCAATTTGTAAATTTCCATTTGGACAAACAGAAAATAACAATTCAATGAAGAACTTATGAAACATTATAAACAATGAAATGCTTCGTGTTTCAGTATGGGAATAAATGTTACTATAGCCTAAAAAGTACATAACCCACATATGATTTATATATCTTTTTAAACTCAACATAACATGAACAATATGACATTTTAGGAACAAGCCCCTGATGCTGGTTATCCACAAGTCCTGGTGTGGAGCATGTAAAGGTAACTTACAACAAATAAATATCATGGAATATCATGGAATTCAAACTTTCCTGTAAATGGCATCCTTAATTTGTTTTCAGTATATTCACTATGATATATGTTGTAGCCCTGATGCCCCAGTTTGCTGAATCTAAAGAAATAGAAGAACTGAGTAAAAACTTCATCATGGTACACACAGAGGTCTGTCTGGAGTTATTTCCCTTTATGTACAATATGTCACAAACATTTAAATATATAAAAAGATCACTCCACAATTACAATTCACACAGAATGAAACAGCAATCAATCTGGAGTTATTTCCCTTTGTGCACAATTTATCACAAACATTAGGCCTTTCAACTGCCGCTAGGGGTAGGTTTTATGAACGATAACTCACTGCTGAAACATGTTGAGAGCAGGCTCGGGGTATCGAACTGTTTACACGCAAGGCAGTTTTTAGCATTTCCCAAGTGTTTCTTTGTTCTCAGTAGAATCCAGTGGTTTTAAAATTTAGCACCAATATTAAACTTATTTACTGTATGGTTGCGGACACCATTTCACTACATATAATTAAAAGTTTTAATTAAAATAAAAAGTGAAATCTACCCTCCTTTATAGTTCTAACCTAATTAAATTTTTATACTCGATCGTTCCCCTTCGTGCTTAGTAACACAAGTAAGATGATCAATTGCTGCATTTACTTGTAAAAATATATATAGCTATATAGGAAATGAAAAAGCGCAAACACGAAAAACATGACATTAAATTTTCTTCTTCAAAATAATCGTCAAAGAGAGTTAAAATATTGAATATAGTCTGTTCCCCATTCATTTGACCCTGTTATTTCAGGTAGAGTGAAGGCATTCTCTTTCTCATGGTCAGTGATTGGGAAGGCCAAAATGTCCAGTGGGAAAAACATTTTTGATGGGCATTAAATTTTTTTAAGAAATAACAAAATTACTTTTTAATTAACAAAATGAACTGCAGCAAATTTACAGGAACATGCTTAAAATATAACTGACCCGTATTTTTGTTAAAATTACGACAGTTTTGGAAAGGAAACAGCCCAACCATACAAATGAAAGAAGTATTGTACCTCATGTAAGTGCTTCGTTTAACCGGAAGTACTTTTTGTCAGGTTTCAACCAATGAAATTTGTTGTTTTAAATTGACTGCATTTTTAAAAAGAAAGTAAAACAAGTAAGAAAGTCGTACCCAAAATATATTTCCAAATAACATCGCTAAAATTGAATGCGCACCATGGCGCCACGATTGATTGATTTAATGCGCCATTTTTCACTTCAATGCGACTATGGCGCGTGGCGCAAGCCCTTCCCAATCACTGCATGGTCAACATTTTTGTGTACAAAACAATGTAAGGAACCCTTTTGTGTACATAACAATACCAATTCTGAAGCAGCCTATATGTCATTCCTATAAACGATAACTCATAAATCAGCACTAAGTTGGTCATTTTTCACACCTGAGTTACCTATCCTTAAAACACAACATCGGAAAAGTCAAAAATAAATAATTAAACTTTTTTAATGATGTAATTAAATATATGCATAAGTCATTATCTTTTTTGATAATTTCATGTACCTATAAATCTATCTATGCAATGTTTTTTACTATATGTGCAACTTGAAAAATTAGTTGAAAGGTCTACAAACATTTCAACTGATAAAGTTATCACTCCATTATTAGTTCACATCACAATTCAAACAGAATAAAACAGCAATCAATCTGAGGTTATTTCTCTTTTTTGTACAATATATCACAAACATTTGAACTGATACAGATCATTTTGCAAATAGTTCACATCACAATTCAAACAGGATGAAACAGCAATCTATCTGGAGTTATTTCCCTTTACACACATTAATTAACAATACAAAAAGCATGAAAATGATAAAAAGTTAAGTTTGGAGTAATTTCCCTTTATACAGTGTATGCACACCAAAATAGAATACACAAAGCATGAAAATGATATAATCTCTCACAGAGGGAGGGCCACTCAAGCTTAACTCTCTAAGGCTTTTTTTACTCTCTCCAAAGAAGTTCCTACATCGCTTTTTGTTGGCATCAATATTAGAGCAAAATAGTTTATACTAAAAAATAAAATAATGTTTTAGAGTATATTTTCAAGATGAAGGAAGTTGTAAAGCTTTTGTAGAAAAAGTATACCCATTCCTTTTGTGCACCAATAATCTCAAAAACACAGAGCAATCAATGAAACAGAGTTCAGTCTGAAGTTATTTCCCTTTATGCACTCTACGTCACAAACACATACAGCACTGTCATTTTACAGAGGTTTTATATTTCTGTTTCAGCACTCAAACACAAGATACAAGTAAAAAATGAATAGAGTTAGATTTGAAACTTAAAAACAGATATAAAAAAGTTAATTTGAAAAAAAGTATACCAGTAGCTATTTTTTTTTTTCAATGTTTAGATTAAAAATTGAAAATGAATAGAGTTAGATTTGAAACTTAAAAACAGATATAAAAAAGTTAATTTGAAAAAAAAGTATACCAGTAGCTATTTTTTTATTCAATGTTTAGATTAAAACTTTTTTCCTCGTTATTTTAGGATGATGAGGAACCTAAAGGGGAGCAGTATTTACCGGACGGCGGATATATACCTCGGATATTGTTCTTAGGTAAAGAAAACGTAATAAATCTTATTTCTTGTTATGAGCAAAGCTGTTAACAGCTATTGAACCCTATTATTCAGACAGAATTTGACATTTATCATGTTTATATGTATTTTTTCTCCAACTAAATTGTCGATTAATCATTTCAGATCCAGAGGGAAATGTAAGAAAGGACTTTTACAATGTAGGGGGCCATGATGAATATAAATATTACTACTATTCCCCAGAACTCAGTAAGTTCTCTTTTAATGGTGTTCTATTTAAGGGGGCCGACTGTAGTTTCCATTGAGCAATACTTCGCGCATCAGTTAAATGAAGAGTATTTACTCTTTTAAAGCAACTTTTTTCACTTAATTAATAAAACTAAACAAAATTAAGAAATTACGGGTCGAAAAACTTTATTAGAATTTCAAATAACTGATTATTAAACCGATTTTTAAACTGATAGATAGATTGGCGTCATAATAGTGTGTTTTTGACGTTAGATAACGTGACGCTCTCAAAGATGGGGTAATAAAAAATGCTATAAAAGAAAAAGTAATAAACATATGTTCTTGAATTTTGAAACATAGGAATTTGATAATCTCTCCGTCATTTTTATAATTTTTTTGAATAAATTCTTTGCATGGGTCATATTTTGTATTACTCTATGAAATCAAGGAAATTTGTTATTTTTTGGCATTTTGAGATGCCCCCTCTGGATACAGGGCGATAGAATTTTGTGTTTCTTACATATAATGTACAATATAGTATTACCCATCATATATTATAGTTTGAGCAAAAAATCTATTGTAATATTTGTATAATTTGCTCTAAAGTGCGAAAAATTGGCATTTTCCTATATAATCCTATAGTAAATGTACCTGTATTCTGAGACGGTCCCTTAAAAATACCTGGGTGGTAGATTTTCCCCAAACTTTGCATGTACACTTAAGTTAATGTAAGTCATATATGGTATAAAAATGAATAGTTTTGCTATTGTAGTTTGCACACAATAAAACCATAGTCGACCCCTTAAAAGAAAGAAATTTTTTCTCAGCATTTACATTGATTTAAGGACAGATGATCCAAACAAAAAATGGACAATTGTTTGGTATATATTTTTGGATATATTTTGGTTGTAAGTGATGCAAATGTTAATTTTCAATAATGATGTTCCAAATAAAATCTTTCTGTAGCCATCCTTCCAATTCTATACAACTTTTTTTTTCTTACTAAAAATTGTTGTGAAACGTGGAATAGAAAATAAAAAGTTTGTAACATATGTCCTTTAATAGCTGTCATTTTGTTGTGTTTCACAAACTTAAGCTAGAATTGAAATCAAAATGGAGGTACTTTTATTGGTTGATATTGTCTGTCTGCCTGTTTGTGCCAATCAATGATTATAAATGTGATGTTGCTTTTAACTCGGATGGGTTGATCGTAATATAATACATGTATAACTGTGTATGAAATACTTTAAATTCTGCGACTGGAACTGACCTTGACCTATTTAAGTTAATGAGGTCCTATTCCTGTCATCTTGTTCAAATGCCACTCTTCAATAAAACAGGGCTGATCTCTCTCAGCAAACCCCAGGTGTTGCCCTCCCCTAACAAGAATTAAAAACTCAGATATTTGTATCAGTAACAGATTTACTGGATTATAAATACCCCCGACTTCTATTTCAGCTCTTTAATTATTAATTTATGGATATTTATGCATGGAACTTGTAACTTATAATTTTCCATATGAACGACCATGTGTATAAAATGTGGTGAGGTATATAAATATTTACAATGTGTTTTTATGTTGGGGGTACGTCGGGTCAGTATATGAATGGGTAACGCGGTAGGAGGGGGCCCGGAGCTATCTGATTCCTTAATCCACGTGACAGATAAATAAGAGGAGCCTCTCGATCCTTCCTCCCCATACACCCATGTTTATTGTTTAGACACAGAGTAGTAGATCCTTTTCATACAGAAATCAAAGCAACTCCATTGACTCGGGAAGGTTTAATGCCGTTACTTTTAATCATTGATTTCTTAATGTATTGTGTATTCCTTTTTACATTGACATAGATATACAAACCTCTCAGCTTGTAGACTTTTTAATGTATACTTACAAAGTTCGGTCATGTTTGAATTTTTATTGAAGTGTAAGAAGTCCATTATATTTGGCATTTTTGAGCTCTCTGATCATGGCTTATGATTGCAGCTTATGATTGTGGCTTATGATTTGCGTCAGTAAAACATTTCAGTTGCTTTGTTCTGTAGTCTGTTGGCCCTGTCTCTTGATGAATTTCTATAAATCCTCCACGGTGAATGTCATGAATTACCTGGATCCACCTTTCTGTAATGATTGCTTTATTGTCCCCTATAAATTCTCCCTTTTACTTGGGGCTCTTGAATACAAATTTTATTGATATTTGCCTGTTGGAGGAAAGTTTCCATGCAATTAATTATAAACAACTTTCTTATCAACCCCCAATGTAAAATGTTTAGCACCATTTATAGTGTGTATGAAGCAGCCAGAGATGATAAATCTTTATTATTTTCCTGTTACAAGATTTTCAAGCAGTTATCTTACAACCTCAATGAAATTGTTTACAATTTATTTTTATGGACACAAAATTAAATCTCCCTGTATATTTATAATATATTGAATATACATTGCTGTCAGAAAAACAGTGTTGAAGCATCTTACTCTCTTATAGACTTCTTTCATATCATCATTCCAATGAAATGTAAAATTAGATTTTTTTCCCTTTCTTTATTAAAAAGTTTATATTTCAAAAATATTTGTGTTTAGTTATTTTAAATATATTTCATTGATTAATTTTCAGATTAAAATCTTTGGATATTTATTAAATTTTAATTTTTTCAAATTTTTCTTTATACCTAGTACAGTAAAAACTTCTCTATTTAAATCCAGATGTTGTCTATTCTGAAATCTTGTCCTCATACAATGTAAACTGTTAATTCAATTGTTTTAAATGTTGTGTAACCTGGAAAGTTGTCAACCCCAAAATGTTGTCTACCACGGAATGTTATTTACCCTGGAATGTTGTCTAATTGGAATGTTGTCTCACCCACAATGTTGTCTAACTTCAAATGTTGTCTTACCCATAATGTTGTCGTACCCAGAACCTTGTCTAACTTGGAATGTTGTCAAACCCGGGCCAGTTTGGGGTACCAGTGGTGTCCAGAGTAGACAGAGAGTTTGTACATCTACCGGGTATGCATACAAACAAACTTACAAATTTGTATTTTTTTTACTTTCAGTTGTACCCACAATGAAGCGAGTTATGGAGAAAATCCACAGTCCCCCAGAGGAGGAGAAGACAACCTCCATGTCTGACGAATTGTGATAGATTGCCCTCACACTTAGCTCTCGGGAAATTTTTTAAAATACTTTTTCATTCACACTACACAAAGAAATATGCAATTAGTGTAACTTCTTACACACCGTGATCTCAGTTTACTCATCAGGATGTGAGTATGAGGGGTGGATCTTAGGATTTTTAATGATTTCTGCGTGTGTGTACATGTGCTTGGTTATTTTTATTCATTGCAGTAACAGGATTGATTATTTTGCATTTATTATTTGGTCACTTAGTATTTACTCACTTGAATTGTATAGTTCATGATTAACAAGGGTTTAACTCTTCCAGTACATACCTTAAATATTTATAGTGATGTTCGTGTTACATGTACATGTATCTATTTGTAGAAATATTTTTCTCTATACATGTACCTTCCATGTGTGTGTGTGTTTTACACCATTAGATTATGAGTGGTATGTCTGGGTATGTTGTATTTTAAAATATTTATTCTAGTTTTTGGAATTTTTTTTTTTGGAAGTTTGAACTATACCTTTAATGTAGTGCTAGAAATGAACAAAGCTATCATTAAATTTTATGAAAAGTCCATTTCTCTTTTGCTTTGTCACCAAGAAAAAAATGTTAAATTTTTGCTCCTGGTAGATAAATAATAATTTATTGATGATAATAATTCACACTTCCATTGCACTAAAGAGTTACATTTTAAAAGGACGGTCACTCAAAATATGTAGCAAACACAGTAGCTATTGCATATAACTTGCCCTTGCTGAAGTGGGCCTGAGCAAAGTTATCCGTATCACTGTTCCACAGGCACCTGCTGGTCATGAGAAGGGCCTGGTTAGCGTTCTCGCCTATCAACACATTACACACTAACTTGTATCTAGGGAAACCCAAGTCTTTAACACGTGACTTGATGACGTCAGATAGATTTTGAGCTAAATTTGCACACATCTTGTGTTCGTAATTCTCTCCATCCAGATACGATTCGAGCACTCCTTTCATCATTTTTTCTACCGAGGTGGGATTAAATTTCTCCTTGGATTCGGGATGCATCCGGTAGGTGTTTTGGAGCCGGACGGGGATGACGTTGTGTTTTGTTCCCTGTGAGGTCCAGGACACACTGGTACGGCGGGAAGCCTGGGAGGGACGCCTACCCGCCAGTCCGTACTGTAAGCTAGCCCGTGGCTCGATCCGGGACATTCGCCGAAAGTTAGGCCCCGTGAGACCTTGGGTGGTGCTTTCTGACCCTTCGGGCTTGATGGAGGACCGTCGCCGCTGACGGGGAATGTTGTCTTGATGGTGTTGTTCTAATGTCTCCATTGTTAATTGATCGCTCATGTCGTTGTTGGGAAATCTAAAAGTAAAAATTGGGTTAAATTATAAATACTGAGTATTCATACTTTAGACGCCATCCTGGAGTACATGTAAAGATTGTTGGCATAAATAACTCTCTCAGCATAGGCAGACTATATATACATTATAATATCCTACTCATTCAACCTAAAAATATAGGGCATGGAAAGGGTAGTACGTTGTGTGCAATTTAACTCTCATTTAATTAATCACATACCCGGTACTCGAACATTTTCCTTATGAAACAAAATTTTTAAAAAATCATTACTGATCAGATAAAAGACATCCAGTTCTCGCAATGCCAGGGGTCCTGAGTCAACACGTTGCCGATGCAACGTACGTGTTGGCTCAGGACCCACGGACAGCAATATGTTGACGCAAGACCCTTGGCATTGCAAGGATGGAAAAAAGAGGAATACCAATTAATGACTGCACTGGATTCTTAAATTGTAGCGAAATATTTTTGATTCTCTCTTTCCCTACCCCGCACGCACGAAACAAGTGCCTGTGACCCCGCATCCCTTTCCGGAGTTATCGCGACGGTCCTGGAAATTCAACCAAAAGGTGGGAATTTATTTTTTCTTCTCAAATAGAACATATAGCATTGGTTTTGAAGACTTTTCCTGATTTGTTAGAAATGTGCTCGGCAGGATTAAATGTCAAAATATGTCAACACGTGTCGTTTCCATGATGCATGTCGTGTTGATAAGACACTTGTAGCTAGGTTATACCCTGTTGAAAGTGACAGCGCGGATTTTTGTGAATTATGTAATGCAGTATTGAACTTTGTGTTTATTGCCCCTATATCTACCTTGAATTCTTTAGACATAGGAAATTACTTCCAGCGCTTCGCGGGATTTATTGCCGACAAAGATAGAAATCCCGCGGTAAGAGTTTCAAGGAACACATAATCCACTCTTTACCATACCTCTCTCCTTATTACATGTTCCATGTTATTTGAAAAAGTAGGTCAAACTTCAAGGTCAAGGTCGAGAGGCCAAAAAGCAATTTATTTTAGAAAGGTCTTTTCACAGGTCATATACATGTTGAATATTCCACAATATTGAAAGACCTATCGCGTCTCATTCAAACGTTGATATGGCCAATTTTAATTTATTAATTTTTCTTTTAAATTTGCCCATGGAAAGGTTAAAGTTTTCAAAAGTAGGTCAAACTGTAAAGTCAAAGTCATGGGGTGGAAAAAAATCAGTACTCAAAGTAATTGTCACAAAGATTACACCTGTGAAATATGACAGCCCTATCACCAACTTAACCAGAAGTTATGACCAAGTTAAAAGTTTTCCAGAAGTAGAAAATCAAGGTCATAACGTCAAAGATGTTGGTACCCAGAGAAAAGTATAGTGTTAGAGAATACACGTGAAATGAAATGATAAGGCCTTAGCACCATCCCACCAGTAAAACAAATCACCAGAATTAAAACTAGTCACCAGTAATAGTCATATTAAACGTTTTCTGTAGCAGACCACTCTTTGAGGTCATCGAGACAAAAAATGTTGGTCTTGTCACAAGAAATACAGATGTGAAATTACATGTAATGAAAGCCCTAAGATTAAGAGAGTTTAAGAAGTTTTAATCTTTTTTCCAGAAGTAGGTCGAACTCTAAAATCATAGTGTCAAAAATGTTGATAATCAAAAGAAAGGTCTTGTTAAAAGCAATACCCGGTATATACATAGTTACATGTGTATTGAAATATGAAAGCCCAAAAGCATGTATTATATTAAACATTCAAATTATACAGGCAAGGAGAGTGTTTTTTAAAAAGTAGATAAAAGTCAAAGGTCAAGATCATGATATGTAAAGTGTTGGTATCCAAAGAAAAGTCTTGTCAAAAAAAATAACCAAGTGAAATATTTAAACCCAAGCACTAACCGTTCAGAAGTTACAATCAAGGCTAAATATTTACAAAAGACATTTTTGACAGAACACAAAAACAACTGAACGTTAGTGAGTTTATTTTGTGCAAAAAAACCAACATTTTCTACATTCAAAAGAGCATGAAGGTAGTCCAACGTCATTTTGTTTGTCAGGAACAAATTGAAATTCCAAATATTAATGAAAATGCGCTAAAGTCACGAAGGATCTTAAATATATGGTGATTTTCCAATGCATATCGCAGGGAAATTCACAGTGGAGGTTAAAATAAGTATTTTTCAAACTTTTCAATTATGCATACCCACTCACACTTTGGAAATCAATCAACTACTTAATCAAAGGTGTTTCTAAGAAGCCTCATTTGATTTTTAATAAATTCTTGTTCAGTGAGATTACTCCAGTACTAGTCCAACTTAACTCGTTTACTTTAGAGTCGGGTTCAAATCACTTAGCGGTTATCCCCCCAATCCTCACTACTTTCTTCCTCGGATTAATTCTATTTAAGGTCTGTGAACCGTCGTTGGAGTCTATGTAATTTCGTCTTAATGTCTAATATCGACAGTCGGAGACAGGGCTCAGTTTTATCGCGATCTTTGACATGAAAAAAAGAGAAAAAAATCCATAAGTCGATAAAAGCTAACAGGATATTATTCTCAAGTCTTTTCAATGAACCGCTTCCTAACAAAATAATTCCACTGGAATCGATCAAGACAGTTCTGGAATTTCCATTAGGATTTTTATACATTGGTTTTACATGTAACATATTTAAATAAATTAGAGTTAATATAATTGGTTAAATCAGCGCGCACCTGTCAGAGCGGTGTCTTTTGTATTGATACCTATACAGACGGGACAGTTCGGTGTGACAGGTGAGGGGGGTCAGGAGCTCGTCTATTCCTCGGATACAGACAGTTATTAGAACTCCACAGATCGTAAACAACACCCGACATTAATTTGATCGCTATCTGAAGTTTGACAAGGTGTCCTTTAAAGATAACAAACATATTCCAGGGAGCTTCCTTCAATATTAAAGTACGTTCCCGAGATCAAATAATTATGTCAAAAAGTTTTACCTAAATTTTTATCTGATTTAAGAAGAAACTATAGAGAGAAATTAAATTGTGAAATTCAGAAAAACTCAACTAAAACAAAATTAATTGAAAAGCAATTGAACTAATTTCAAATGAGAACTGTTTCAGATTCCAAAGATTTTGATCCTCGTATTAATTTTAAACATGTAAGTTTCTTTCAGTAATTGTTTGAATTTCCCTATAGAATTATGATAATAAAAGTGAATCGCTACAAATGACAATACTAGTGTGTCCTTACCTGTTAGAATTTACAGCATGTTTCTGTTTATAGAGATCCACCGATGACTGCGGTCGTGTATTGAGTGGTTACAAAGGCGGGGCGAGGGCCCTTTAAAGGAACAACAGTCGCTCTCACACAACACGCAGTACTGGGATATTCCCAGTGTGAGCTATTCAGGATAATGATGGATAGAAACACGACCATTTTTAAATTTCAAATGCCCCTTTGCTATCATTTTTAGAGCAAAATATATGCGTTTTTTTGGGGTTTTTTTTTTTGGGGGGGGGGAGGCAATTATTAAAGTATTAGAAAATTAACAAGTACAACATCTTCTCACTTTGAAAAATAAATTCAACTTTTTCCTTATTAAAAAATTAAAAACAGAAAAGTATAGGATAATATCTCCTAATTTTTAAAATCACTGAATTAATGCAAATAACACAACAATTAACTTGCCTGAATTACCCAGAGGCTTAATATTATTCGTTTTGCTGCCCCCCCCCCCCTCCGGAAAATTCAAACTCGTAAGAGAGAGGGACATCGAGAGGGGTATCTGATATAATTTTTTTCACTTTTTTTTAAATCTGTGTAAGTGTAAAAGGTAATTTGAGAAGGATAATTATATGATTATAATAAAAAATCTAAATTGTACTTTGAGATTCCTTACATTAAATTACGATGTCTGACTTACAAATGGGTTTTTTGAAAAGAAAGAAAGAAATACGAATCGATTCAGGGACAATACTCAATTAATGCATATACTTAATCCTTAAACTCTACGGAGTCATATCAAATTTCTTGTTTTATATAAGTATAAATTATCAAATCAAACAAACGAGAATCTAGGCTAAGTACGAAGTTTCGTCTGGTCTTCTGTGTTCTGTATCTTCTTTGTAAAATATGTCAAAGAACAAGAACCTATAATTAATTCAGCTGATAATATGTCTAACCACTCGGTTGTCTGTTTACGAGGAATTTTAAATAATAAAAAACGGCGCATTTTTAATGAAGTATCCGTGCCATACAAAGCCCTGTATTGACACAAGGTTATAAGCAAGATTAAATTGGATTTCTCCAATATCGATTGAGCAAATAGGGATTCATTGGCAAGCTTTGCATACATCTGTATTTACAACTGCAGTATTTAAAAGACAATTGGTTCATCACATGTAGTAATGGTTACATGCACCTCGAGGGAAATCACTCACACCGTAATGTCAATCCTCTGTCGATAATAAAGCAGTATAAATATTGAAAGAAACCCTCCCTACTTTACCCTACCAGCTGAATGGAGACACATAGAAATATCTCCTTAACGGCCTGTAATAGAGTTAAATGTTTGTGTGAGGGCGTGTGCGATGCTGGTGATAGAAGAGAATAGCATGGTACAGTAAACAAAACATTCTAAGTGGTGATACTCTGACAAACGCATGTCATTTTTTTTAAATGGAAGAAACTATGAATATATGGCCTCTAATGTATAGGGAAATTACTGCCACTTTGCTGTCACAAATAAAATGTTTGTTTTCTTTCTTTTTTTATTATTATCTTCAAAGACTCAACTTACAGAATCCTAATCTCAGCCAGTTTCGCGTAAAGACGTCAGACCAAAATGTTTAGTCTGGCTCGATCTACAAATCTCGCTGAGATTACCAGCATCCGTGCTAAAAATATGCCCTTTTTCTTCAAGATAGGCTACTAAAAACGCGTGGGTAATGTGACGTAAGACGTCTATTTGTCGTATGATTTTTTTTTTACCTCTTTTGTTAATAAACTCACTCAAAATGTGTTGTTATTAGTCCAGTTCATTTTTATTCATCCTTTCATATTTCATCAATTTTTACAAAATCAACAGCATAAAGACTTACGACTTTTCAGCTTTATGTACAACCATTCCCCACGATAAGAAAGTGGAGACTTTTTGATATCATTGATAGCTGCTTTTTCAACATAAAATGGAAGTACCTTGTCACTGGGCATTTGCAAAATTATTTTTTTAAAAGCATAGTGATTGTACACACAAGTACTCTAAAATTGATATTAAAAAGATGCATGGGTTTCTTTTTGACAATATCTATGTGGTTTTTAGACCAGGTCCTCTAACTAATTATTGGATTTCCCATCGTTACCAATTGCGCCCCATTATTAGCAGACTTTTTTTGCATTCATATGAAGCAGAATTAGTCCAAAATCTTATACGTGGAAAGAAGAAAAAACAATTGCTGTGACCTTTAACTCTTCATTTACAGAGTTTAAACATCTACAGAGTCTGACACATTTGAACATAAAGGGGCCCCCTTCGCCCTCTTCTTGATCGGGCGAATTTAAAACGGCGCGAATTCAAATTACACATCATAATTTCTTAAACAAAACAATGACTGGGCGAATTTAAAACGGGGCAAAATAGTTCCTAAGTGTAAAAGGGCGAAAATAACACGGGGTGAATATAATCCTGTATACAATATATACATGTAAAGCTTTTTAAAATTTCGAGATTATTTTCTAAGCTTTTTTGTGTACAACTTCAAGAGATGTTGTGATAATATAGAAATAAAGAACACTGTAATCAAGTCCAGAGGTCCATAGAAACAATACAGACGGGAAGCAGAGCAAACATGGACCTCTAAAACATCAGAAGCAGAGCAAACACGGACCTCTAAAACATCTGAAGCATAGCAAACACAGACCTCTAAAACATCAGAAGCATAGCAAACACAGACCTCTAAAACATCAGAAGCAGAGCAAAAACGGACCTATTAAATATCAGAAGCATAGCAAACATGGACCTCTAAAACATCAGAAGCAGAGCAAAAACGGACTTATTAAATATCAGAAGCATAGCAAACATGGACCTCTAAAATATCAAAAGAAGAGCAAACATGGACCTCTAAAATATCAGATGCAGAGCAAACATGGACCTCTAAAACATCAGAAGCAGAGCAAACACGGACCTCTAAAACATCTGAAGCATAGCAAACACAGACCTCTAAAACATCAGAAGCATAGCAAACATGGACCTCTAATACTCAGAAGCAGAGCAAACATGGTCCTCTAATACACCAGAAGTAGAGCAAACACAGACCTCTAAAACCTCAGAAGCAGAGCAAACATGGACCTCTAAAATATATGAAGCAGAGCAAACACGGACCTCTAAAACATCAGAAGCAGAGCAAAAACGGACCTATTAAATATCAGAAGCAGAGCAAACATGGACCTCTAAAACATCAGAAGCAGAGCAAACATGGACCTCTAAAACATCAGAAGCACAGCAAACACGGACCTCTAAAACATCAGTGGTGGGATCAGGTGCTCAAACCCTGATGGGACAAACGGGAAAATCCTTAAACAACTGTGTATATAAAAATGGTTTAGCTATTAAAATGAATAATGTCAATCAGCATTCGAATAGTATATATGGAGGTCCCTGGATCTAATGATGCTAAGATCTGAAGATTGTTTTTGCTGACAAGGTCAGTGTACATATCGATCTTAAAATAGGCAAAATGACATAACTTTTATCATAATTTATTCAAAGTCTTTTTCTATAGTAAGATATCCAAATACGAAACATATAAGTCAGACTCTGTGGTATATCTTGAATATATTTTCAGTTCTCCAGTGGATATAAGAAGGGGAGTAACCGTTTTTAATTTATTATACGTAGTCCACACATCCTTGAACTTCCTAAAATGTAAACATTAAATGTTTTTTACAACTCTTGTCTAGAATATAAAATTTTATTGAAACGGCAGCTGACTCTAGCCTTCAAATCATTATAGATCTGAAATGGTTGTATAAATTTTTGAAAAGTCGTATATTTTGATATTGTAGAACTTTAGTTTAAAAAATGATTTTAAAATCCTTGTAGGGCTTTTAGAAATTTTTGTAAAGTTTCTACACCTATCTGTTTCATATTTGATATTTTACTGGAAAATGACCTTTATGGCTTAAGTAACAATTAAAGCTTTATAAAAATATAAAATCTTTTCAATCGTTAACTTCCCTTACATATGTAGCAATATACCCCTTTTCACTGTCATATGGGTTGTCTCAGTTGATTCGATATATGCAAGTGCACGCTCTATGTACGAACCATATTTAAAACAATTATCAAGCTCTTGAGATTTAAGTTTGTCAACAAAAATTAGTAAAGCCAATATTTCGCAGGTTCTATGGTCGATACAATGACTGTGACCTTGTCAAGTAAATACAATTATCAAATTCTGAATGACCTTAATCACACAAATCAATTGCTATTTACCATTAATTACACACTAAAAGTTTTACTAATTTTCCCTTTTACCAGATCATGACAAGGAGCACACAGCGGATGTGACCGGTCGGCAGGGGATGCTCACTCTTCCATGGCACCTGATCCCACCTCTGATGTCTAAGAGGGCCGTGTTTTCTATGCTCCTGATTTGTATTGCATGGATGGGTTTTTTCCCTTAAACACTTTTCGATATTTTCATTTTTAATTTCTACAGATTTTGTTATTTATATATTTTGTGGAGTATATATGTACATGTTAGGAGAGATCTGGAGAACAACTTCTGCACTTCAGCACTGAAAAATTGTTCATCAGGAAAACTTTTGTTTTCTAATTACATTTACAGAGTTCTTTTATTATAAATCAAATTTTTAAAAAAGTTGTTTTTAAAAGTTAATAAATAAAATAGGGTTTTCAAGAGATTTTGGTGTATACGTATACCTTTTAGAATATTTGTGCATAGATTCCAGAGATTTGGCAGTCAGTTTCTAGAATTTGTGCATTACAGCTTTAGTTTTTTGTGTTTTCCTTCCAGACAGCTAGTTTAAAAGATTTATGAATATTCTATGCCGGGATTTTGTGTGTTCAAGGGAATTATGTGCATATTTTTAAAAATATATTTTATATTTTCTAAAATGTGTAACAATTTGTCAAGATTTTTGTATATGGCTTTAAGAAATTTTTATGTATAGTTTGTAAAGATTTTGAAGAATCATAATCAATGATGATAGTACATTCATGGCCTAAATTGACCTGTTCGGAAAAATATATCGCTTCGTGAATTTTTTTTGATTTATTTAGAAGTTGTTATTATCCGGTTTTATATTTTAACGATATCAACAACATACTTTATTTTATGCTCATAAAATTTTCATTAATATCCTCCATTCCCCAAAACAAAGAGGTGAGACATCAAAAGGTGGGCATTATACTACAGACTGTCTGCTGGTTGTCTGTTTGATGATTCGTGGTCATAAACATACATGTAACTTGAATGCCATAGGTAGGTAGGCACCCTTTTCCACCGGGGGATGCTTGACATGAAGGGATACTGACCAAAGCTCACTAACTGACAATGGATGGCATGTTTGATGGACAGACTCAAGAGATACATACAGCCGTACAGACAAACAATACAGACAGACTCCTACAGCTGATACAGGCGGGCCACAGCGTCAACAGTGAAGACGTGGACCTGGTCAGACCGCTACACGAGGCCTGCTTCAGAGGCCATGTCGACTGTGTGAAAATTCTACTGGACAATGACGCAGAGGTATTCAAGTTAGTTTGAATATTGCATATCAGTCGTACATGTAATGACATGTAACAACACCTCCACCCCCAATACAGTGAAAATTAAAAATATCAGATTTTATTAGATTTATATCTCATAGTTCATTCGATGTGCAATAGCATGATCTTCATACAAACAATTTCTAAAACAAAAAAAAACTACTGACAAACAGGTTGATGATATAAGGATAATTCTGTTGTCGATACATTGACCTTTTTTACAAAAACATTACCTCCCCTTTATCACTTGTATTGATTATGTTAACAGAATATTCCATAGTCAAATTAAAGCAAACAATCAATGTTAACGAGAAGTATGAAATATGTCAGTCAAAATAAAATTACCAGACTGCCGACTTGAACAAAGATGTTTAAATATGTGATGGCAACTTTTTCTATCAGTATCCTGTCTTAGTTTAAAAATTGATGATACTCGGAAAGTGACCTTGAGTAATGAAAAAATTTTGGATTTATTAACACCATTGGCAGGTATATAACTTTTTTTGGTAAATACAGTCCAGCAGATTCTTACGTGTGTTTGACTTTTCAGGTAAATGTGAGGAACATTGATGGAGCTACCCCTCTGTGTGACGCTGCCAGCAGTGGACATGTAGACATCGTCAGGATTCTACTACAGCGGGGGGCATATGTCAACCCTCCTCTTCTGTTAACTTCTCCTCTGCATGAGGCAACTCTCAGAGGTAGCCTACAGTGATCATCAAAATAACTCTGCTATATATTATATGACTCTCTTATTTGCAGACAAAATTGACGGAAAATGATTTCAAATCAAATTTACCAAATATCAAATAATAAAGATTTTTGAAGATGCATTCTGCAATTTTAAAATGTTTTGAGTATATGACATTATTTAAAGATTTTCTGTGCATTTTATGATTATTTGACGAGCATGAATTTCTGTGAAAATTCTTAAAAAATAATTTTTTTCATTATTTTTTGAAATTGTATATAATTTTTTTATTGAACGCTAAGATAAATGGGAAACAGTGGAGGTATTGTCGGCAGCTGGAGCTAATCTGAACTTCTCGGACTGTCACTTCGGAACTCCTCTTCATGTAGCAGCATGTCAAGGCAGTCTGACATGTGCACAAGCTTTGCTTCGAGCAGGTCAGCAACATTTTTTCCTTTACATGCTGTTCTCAAGAATTAAGATTTTAAAAGTAGTCAGTTTGATTATAACTAGTTCCCTTCTCCTATTGTCAACTATAGAAAAAGGAGAGGAGGGGGGCTGATATTAATCGAATTAACAAACTGATCTGATAGTTTTATATTTAGGAGTGTGTGCGAATTCCATTAAGAACCATAACACTGTTACTATACTTTGGTGCCTGTGTGAATTCCATTAAGAGTCTTAACACTGTTACTATATTTAGATGCCTATGTGAATTCCATTTAGAGCCTTAACACTGTTACTATATTTAGGAGCATGTATGAATGCCATTAAGAGCCTTAACATTGTTTAAACAATAAAATGCTTTCTTTGGTTGTTATTACTGGAATTAACAGAAGCAGCTGTTGCAGAAAAAATACATAATATAACCGCATAAACGGGTTATGTAAATTTTTCCTGCAATAGCTGCGACCGTTAATTTCAGTAATAACAAAGAAAGAAAGACATTTTATTGTTTATATTTATATCTGTTTAAATAATCATTTGAAGTAGGATAAAAAAGATTAATTATTGTATTAATGATGCGAACGTCTTTATACATTTCATTGACGGAACAGCCACTGATTAAGAAATCTGTACAAGGCTACCTGCCTATGCAGTTCATGCAGTGATTAACGCAATGGGTTTTCTTGAGAAAAGGAGAAAATATTCATTGGATGTAAATATTACTATATTAAGGAGCTTGTCTGAATTCCATTAAGAGTCTTAACACTTACTTTATTTAGGCACCTGTGTGAATTCCATTTAGAGCCTTAACACTGTTACTATATTTAGGAGCATGTATGAATTCCGTTAAGAGCCTTAACACTGTTACTTTATTAAGATACCTGTATGAATGCCATCAAGAGCCTTAACACTGTTACTATATTTAGGAGCCTGTGTGAATGCCATCAAGAGCCTTAATACTGTTACTATATTTAGGTGCCTGTGTGAATTCCATTAAATCCCTTAACACCTCTCTCCATGAGGCTGCCAGGAGACAGGACGTGCCCCTCATTCTCGTCCTGCTGGCGTACGGAGCGGATGTAACGATGAGAAACAACAATGGACTACGACCCATTGATCTGGTCCCCAGCTCTACACACCCTGCTAAACAAGTCCTACTGCAGTGGGAATGTAAGTATATATGTAGTACCTACCAACTCAAGCCTAAAAACAAGTCCTACTACATTGGGAATATAAGTATATGTGTAGTACCTACCAACTCAAGCCTAAAAACAAGTCCTATTGTAGTGGGAATGTAAGTCCTAATTATTGCCTAACAACTCAAACCTAAAACAAATCCTTCTGCAGTGCGAATGTAAGTACATGTGTAGTAACTACTAACTCAAGCCTAAAAACAAGTCCTACTACAGTTGAACATTGAAAAGCAGACATAGAAAACAGAGAGTTACAAATGTTTGCAATAATCAGCGAAATATGTAAGATTTTTTTCTCTTTTTATAAACTTTAAGATATGCGACATGTTGCAGTCATATATTTTTTCTTTTCTAGGTGAACCACGTGATTTGAGACATTACTGCAGGCTGCTGATCAGGAGATGTTTGGGATCCGGAAGACTTAAGTATATACCGGAACTTCCGGTTCCCAAACTACTCCATCAATACCTGGACTTCCGATGCTAGTCCTCCAATGGAATTGTTTTTACTATATGTTATTTCATTTTTTGCTGTTTGTGCGAGGACTGTTTTGTTTGAAGAAAGGAATTTAATTAATTTGTTATAAGAAAAGTAATGAATATACTGTAGATGTCTTTAATTTCAGGTGTCTATAATTTCACGGTTTGTTAGAAAGTAACCTTTCACGGTGGTTTTAATTTCACGGAGAATCGTTTGTAAATATTCAGGTACTTAGACTGTTTCTAGGTAGAAATGACTTGAAATAATAATCACGATGGTTTAAAGTTCACGGAAAATTCTTAAATCGTGAACATAGTGAAATTAAAAACACCGTAATGTTTTCCACTTCTACAGTATCTCGTAAACTTTCTACGGTGTCCTCATCCTTACTTTTTCGTAAATAAACTGCTATTAAGAAGGATATGGAGATAACGAACAGTATTCAATATCAAAGTCTATAAAACAATACAAAATAGGAGCAGGGCAAACATGGACCTCCAAAACATCAGAGGTGGGATCAGGTGTCATGGAGGAGTGAGCATCCCCTGCTGACCAGTCACATCTGACGTGTGCTCCTTGTCATGATCAGGAAATAACGGAAAATCCGTCAAAGCAGAAACTTCAGATGAACTGTGCTACAGTATACTCAAAAAGTTACAAACAAGGGATTTTTGAATGTCCGAGAACTTTTTAAAAATTTGGAATGTTTTTTGCTCTCCCATTTGCTTGGATATAGGAGTACATTTTTATTTAGAAGTTCAAAGAAATATATTTTAATACATGTACATTTAAATAAAAAGAGCAGGTCTTCTTTGAATGGATCAAAAGTTCACCACTTATGAAATTTCTGATAGAATCCAATTTTTTCCCTTTAAAAGCTCCCACTGCTTCTGAGTTGTTGCTATGCTAAATAAGAAATACAACATGTTCATTTATTTTATTGATTACACATTCAAAGCATGCCTCATGATATGATTTTAATTTTTTGCAGCATACAAACATAAGCTTGAGGGTAATTTCATCAAATCATATCATTCCTTCATGAGCAAAAAATAACATAAGGATATGGAAATAACAAACATTATTCAATATCAAAGTCTATAAAAACAATTCAAAATAGGAAGAAAGCAAACACGGACCTCCAAAACATCAGAGGTGGGATCAGATGCTATGGAGGAGTAAGCATCCCCTACTGACCGGTCACACCCTCCGTGTGCATCTGAATCCTCTTGATAGAGGAATAAAATTGATTCAGTAATTTTATTCATATATTTTATCTATTCTCATTTGTGTAGCTATGTGTATGTTGTGGATTGGTTCTTGTCTGAGAGATTGTTGGTATGAGTATAGAGCAGCCTGGAGGTCACCTGTTGACAGATCCCCAGAATCTGCCATGATATGTCTCTGTAATCTAATGATATAAGCTGTCCCTGGTCATCGTGAACTAGGGTCTGTAGATCATCTAGAGCTTTTTGTACTCTCATAGTGTCTACATGTCTGTAACAAAAGATTTCTAGCATGTATATTAGTATTAATGATGGGACAATAAATGCAGGGAATCGGTTCTATAGAGCAGACTGTTGTTCTGGTATCAATTCATTGATGTAATGGATTTCATTTTTAGCTCACCTGAGCCGAAGGCTCAAGTGAGCTTTTCTGATCAAAATTTGTCCGTTGTCTGTCTTCGTTGTCGTTGTCGTTGTTGTCGTTGTCGTCGTAAACTTTTCACATTTTCTTCTTCTCAAGAACCACTGGGCCAATTTCAACCAAACTTGGTACAAAGTATCCTTGGGTGAAGGGGAATCAAGTTTGTTCAAATGAAGGGCCACGGCCCCTTCCAAGGGGAGATAATTATGAATTTGTGAAAAATTAATGGCATTTTTTAGAAAATCTTCTTCTCCAGAACCGCTGGACCAGGAAAGATGAAACTCATGTGGAAGCATCTTCAGGTAGTGTAGATTCAAGTTTGTTCAAATCATGACCCCCGGGGCAAGGGTGGGGCCAAAATGGCCGACCCAAGTTTTACATAGGAATATATAGGAAAAATCTTCTCCAGTACCACTGGGCCAGGAAAGATGAAACTCATGTGGAATCATCCTCAGGTAGTGTGGATTCAAATTTGTTCAAATCATGACCCCCGGGGCAAAGGTGGGGCCAAAATGGCCGACCCTATTTTTACATAGGAATATATAAGAAAAATCTTTAAAAATCTTCTTCTCCAGAACCACTAGGACAGGAAAGATGAAACTCATGTGGAATCATCCTCAGGTTGTGTAGATTCAAGTTTGTTCAAATCATGACCCCTGGGGTAAGGGTGGGGCCAAAATGGCCGACCCAAGTTTTACATAGGAATATATAGGAAAATTCTTTAAAAATCTTCTTCTCCAGAACCACTGGGCCAGGAAAGATGAATCTCATGTGGAATCATCCTCAGGTAGTGTAGATTCAAGTTTGTTCAAATCATGACCCCCCGGGCTAGGGTGGGGCCAAAATGGCCAACCCAAGTTTTACATAGGGATATATAGGGAAACCTTTTAAAATCTTCTTTTCAAGTACTCCAAAGCTATGATTTGTGATTTTATATGGAATCATCCTCAGGTAGTGTAGATTCTAGTTTGTACAAATGATGCACGCCTGGAGGGGTGGGGTGGGGGGAGTAAATTCAAGCCTGATGTGCTCAGATGAGCGCTGTGGCCCCTGGGCCTCTTGTCAAGTTCAATATCCCATGCTACAGCCTGTCTCATCTTTGTAGACCAGGATTGTCCCCCTATGACCTCAGTATACAACTCTGTATCTACATTTGACCCATACATCGCATATGCATGGCCGTGCTAACTTGACCTTGATCATCTCTATAATAGATAACGCTTCCGTGTATCTACGTGTCTTGTAATAATACATGCCTATGTAATTCATATCAGTAATACAATCAAACTTGGCTGCTTATTTCAGCATGTAACAGGAGATTTTGTCTGACATATCTCAATTTGTTTTTATGCGCATAAGTCTTCATGTGCAATAAAAATAAAAGGGCTGTTTTCTGAAAGTCAGAAGCCATTATAGTTTCTGAAGCATTAGGACTCGGTCACGTGGAGTGAACCTAATGACCATTCTATTGTATACACCTTTGCAAGTTCAATTTGTGTATTGTACCAGACCGATGTATCTCTGAAAAAAGTTTAAATCAAACTCAGCCTCAAACTCAAAATGTAATAAAAAGATTTTTTGATTATTACATTTTGCGTCGAGATTAAGCAAAAGGTAAGAATGCAAAATGTTATGACAAACTTTTGCGGCCATGTTGAGTATAATTTTTTACTGAGTACTGGGCGAAGAAAAGATATGAAAAGAAAATAAAACAAAATGAAAAAAAAAAAATAATATAATACATTGCTTTCTTTAGCTACATGTATTTGAAATCAGTTAAATATTCAAATCATAGGTGTATATAATATTATACATTGATTTCATTAGCTGCATTTATTTGAAATCGGTTTAATATTCAAATCATAGGTGTTGCAAATAAGAAGCGTGGGAGGGCGGGGGTAAATTTGTTGACCAACTCATCTTTAGAAAATTAATTGGTTGCCCTCTCCCGACTCGCTCTGATAATATTAGGTGGGTAGGTGGGCGAGAATTTTTTAATTCTTTTTTTCCAGGTTTACTTTTAAAAAATAATTTCTTCTGGTGTCAAAATGTTTAGTCGGGCCAATTTAGGCTAGTCGGTCTGGAGAGGACAACCAAACATTTTCAAAAAATTCAACTGATCTGCATTTGGGTACTGTGTAATCAATGTTAGTATGCTAAATATATAGTTATGATTAAATAAAGGTGCCTCTTTCCAAATAGTAAATATCATGGCCTATGGTTTAAATCACGAATCTTATTCATTTGTTAAAAAGTTGTTGAATGATATTCATGTGACCTATAATGCCCATTGGCCTGTTGTTTAACGTAATATTGTTTGATATATTGTATTCTGAGATCGTGATATTCAGAAAAGTTTGATATAAAATGGAATTCATCTTCAACATCTTCGAGTCATATAATAAACATATTCTTAATCTTATTTCTATTCACATTTAAAAATCTACCTTCTTCCACCCGTATTAAACAGGAGCACACGGCGGGTGTGACCGGTCTTCAGAGGATGTTCACTCCTCCATGGCACCTGATCCCACCTGTTTGTTTGCTCTTCTTCTATTTTGTATTTTTTAATGGACGACTTTTGAGCTTAAACACCGTTCGTTATCTCTATATATTTCATTATTTTTTGTATGCATGTTTAATAGATTTTGATAAATATTGCTGTAAACAAAATGATTCATAATGTGTTGGCAAAACTTTCCCGACGTAGACATTTTTTAATTGTGTGAAGGACTACATCTACATCTCAGGAATTTGGCAGGAGAATTCAACCTCTTAATGTACTACTTGTGTTGTACTAAATTGTTCTTGTTGGCTTATCTTACGCAATTTCATATTGAAGATTATAATTAAAACTTATTTGATATTGTATAATATAGCCAGAGCTAAATATTTATTGTATAAAATTTTCATTTAAATTCCAGATTGTATTGTGTCACTTGGATGACTTTCAGACAATTTATATATTCTTTTAAAAGAATTAACATAATTTGTGTTGATGTTTTATTAGGTTGTGGAGCATTGTTAATCAACCATTGTTGATATACATAAACAAAACTACACACGGTTCTTTGTTAAGCTTTAAGATATACCAATTTTAGAAGTATATGATGTTTAATTTATTTTTTATAAATAATACTTACACCACATGAGATTTATGTATATCAAACATTTTAAGGAATGCAAAGCAAATCATTGAAATCTTTGAATCAAGATTATTAAGATTTTCTTACACTCAAAACTACCCGGTTTTCATGATACGGTAAACCAACTATTATTCGCGTCATCTTTATTCGCGATTCGTCAGTTTAAAATCAATTTGCGACAATTAATCCGCGGCCAAGGAAACACTCTCTACAAATCCTTAGCAAAATGATTAGTTCCGGCGATTAACTTTCTCGGGGTTAAAGGAGGTCGCAGAACCCGCGGATATTTCTGGCTAGCGAATAAAAGTTGGTTTACAGTAATATTATTTAACAATATTCCATGGGCGTATCATGCTGTGGTAAATTTATGTGAGTAAATTTATTAGCTTATTAAATTAAAAATAGACTGAACAAAAAAATTTAATCAGAGGAGGATATGTAAATGATAATCTCTGTCAGGTGAACTAGTACAAATGTCTTATAATTTATTAGTTGGGGGATTTTATTGACAAATGTCCTGTATTCTCAGTTCTGTAGCTGTGTATATTTTGTGACGAAGGGGTAAGCACTCGTCTGAGAAATAATTGATATGAGTATAAATAGAAACCTAAATATCCCCTATCTCCTGCTGACAGATCTCCAGAATCCGCCATGATATGTCTCTGTATATTAAAGGTATAATCCGTCCCTCTTCATAGTGAACTAGGGTCTGTAGATCATCTAGAGCTGCTTGTGCTCTCATTGTGTCTACATGTTTGTAGCACAAGATCTCTAGCATGTAGAGCAGTATAAACGGTGGGATATCTAATGCAGAATCCTTATTCTGTTGAGCAGATTGTTGTTCTGGTATCAATTCACTGATGTAGTGGATTTCATGGTAAAGTCTGTTAGACCATGCTACAGTCTGTCTCATCTTTAGAGACCAGGACTGTCCCCTTACAGCCTCAGGATACATCTCTGGACCTATATTAAAGTTATACATGTACATCGTATATGGCCGTGCTAGCATGTCCTCGATCATCTCTAAAATAGATACAGCTTCCGTGTATCTAAGTGTCTTGTAATAATACATAGCTATGTACAGCCTGTCAGAAATGAAACCAAATTTGGCTGCTAATTTCAGCATATGACAGGAGATTCTGTCAGCTCTATACCTCAGTTTGTTTTTATGAGTGTAAGTTTCCATGTATACTATAAAAGCAGTTTTATGAAGGAGAGTAGATGTAAGTTTCTGTAGCATAGGGACGTTATACTGCGTAATTAGGGGTGAACCTACATGTATCATCTGTTCTATTGTATGTAGACACCTCATATACATCTGTATGTTGAAAAAGTAAAATATTTCATTGCTTCCTATTTCACAATAAAGGTTTCTATCAAACTCATGCTCAGCAATCAGAGTATGTTCATCTGTACCAATGGAGAGTCTGGGGTTATGTAGCACATTTACAATACAAGATCTAATTGAGGGACTGTGTAGCAGAAATGCTAAACCCCTCTCATACAACCCATACAGTCTAAGAAATAGTTGACGTTGTTTTTCGCCATGAATTTTACTCAGAAACATGTTGTTTTCTGGAATGAAAAAGTTAGGACAGGCCCCTTCATACACCCATTTGAGGATGAGTTTGAAGCAGACCCAGAAACACTCCAGGAGATTTTGTGGACACCAGTGGGGTATAGTATTTTGTTGAATCACCCAGAAAACTGTTGTCTTCATGTGATAGGAACACAATAATTTATCATCATCACCTAGTCCATTGTTAATTACTTCTGTTAAGAATAGTTTAAGTAAGCCGTAAGTTAAGAATTGACAGTGATTCATTGCGTTCACTAGTTTTTGTTCTGCCAGAGAGAAAGAAATTCTCCATTCATGTTCTTCATAATTTCCTAGTTTATGTCCGACTGCTACAAAGTGACATCCATTTTTCACTACATCTTCAACAACATGAGGCTGGGGCCACAAATGACATCTGTCTATCCAAGAAGAAGCGGATGGAGGCCAAAAGTCACAAGCTAAACAGTAGGCAAAATCAAATTCCACTGTTAAGAATTTTGCACTGGCACAAGGTCCATGTGGAATGCGGTTTGAACAAAACATATGTCTGTATGCAGAACTAGATATATAATATCTGTCATACATTCTAACACAAGCTCTCTGGATGTCTCTGTTCATGCTTGGTGACAGTAAATATAACAAAGTGAATCCTGGTGGACTATCAGAACAGTCACAGAGGATCAGTGTTTGTCTGTGTGTGTTGTAATACTGAGACTGAGATAATTCCCAGATCACACGGTGATTATTTGGCCAGTACATCATGTCGGTATCTGATCCTTCCAGTCTGAATCCTTCCCTTTGACTTCCACTCTCCATCTTCCTTCGCCCATTAATTGGGTACACTTGATTGTTCACCATCTCACTGATGTCCACCACATCTCTTCTCATGGCCACCAGTTGTGATGTCCCCAGTTTATGACACAAACCCACAAACACCGACTCTGATATATGTTGTATGGCTGTATCACTGTAAGTAAACAACATTAAGTTTAGCATATCTCTTTAAGTGTAACACTTATGTAAATCATTAGAAGTTATCATTCATAAAATTTCTTTATGTTCTACAAAAACAATTTAAATAAATATTTTACAATCACGTCTAAAGAATTAACCAAGGAAGATGTGCAAAAGTAATTCTGATTGAAAGCACAAATGCGTTTTCAACCTTTTCATTGCAATGAATTGCGTTGTGGTTATTAGATATTTATTTAGATTGTTTTTGTAGAACATAAACAAACTTATGAATGATAACTTCAAATGATTTACATGAATGATAACTTCTAATGATTTGCGTCTCAACTCATTATTGAAGTTGTCGTCCGCATGACCCTAGGGACGTGGTGACCGGTCAAGGAAATCAAAATTTGCAGCTCTCCATCGGCAAATTGCGTCTTCATATGAGCGAAGAATTCTCTAGAGAGACGTTAAACAACAAACAAACAGACATTATTTAAGAAATAAATTGAGGAAACATACAAATGTCTACGATTCTTCTGACTGTGGCCTCTGATTTTGTATCAAAATATAAAACAGGGGTATATAATCGTTGATTAGTGTACATTTTAAAATGCACTGATTTCAAGTGTTGTGACTTACAGAATTATACACCGCTGTCGCGAGAATATGAAATAGAATTTATTTTTTACACGGTTACGGGTGCTGTGCATAAATAAATTCATCAAATCATCTTTCATTTAGGAAAGACAGAGAGTATTTTATTTGGACCCCCTAGAAAATTGAAGTCTTATGATACAAGCACTTTTTCAGTTGTATGTAATGGAATTAAAATTGAGTGTAAAAATTGTGTTAAATACCTAGGAGTTTTTTTTAGACAATTTACTATCTGGTGAGAAAATTGTAGAAAATATTATTAACAAAACAAACCAACGACTTAAATCTTTATATAGACAAAAATCATGTTTATCAACAACAAGTCATTGTGTACTGCTTTAATTCAATGCCACATTGATTATGCCATTACTTGTTGGTATGAAGGACTATCTGAAAAATTAAAAAATAGATTACAGATTGTACAGAACAAGGTTATTCGATTTATTCTTGATGTCTCACCAAGATCAAGAGTTAGTGTTCCTGAATTTGAAAAACTGGGGTTTTTGAACATTAGAAATAGAGTGTGTCAGTTACGTCTTAATCATGTTTACAATATTTTTCATAATAAAGGTCCAAATTATATGCATAGCAATTTTAAGCGAAATGTTTCTAGAAATTGTACAAGATACATTTTTTTTTGTGCCATGGAGAGTAAAATTTTTTTATAATGGAATGCTCTACCTGACCAGATTAAAACAATAACAAGTAAATCAAAATTAAAAAAAGAGGTCAAAAAACATTTTATGATTTGCCAAAGAGGATTTTTTATATTATTAAATTTATAATCTTAATTGTTCTTCCTACCTCTACAATCAAGACCTTGTGTTTTAGATGCTTTTGCATTGTATGATTAAATTTTTTAGGTAATTTTGATTTTAGTTAGTATACTATTTATAGTTTATATTGTATATTATATATGTCATATGCAGAATGTTGTTACATTTTTTAAGCCATACTGGCTTTCAGGTATCTGTTTGGGCATATATATATGATTTATAAGCCAAATAATTTTATAACTGATCTCTTAAATTATGTATATTTATTTATTTATAAATTTTTTATACTGATTTAATACTCACACCTAAATGTATTGTACATTGCTCAATGCCTTTACCTGAATAAAGATTATTTATTATTTATGTTCCCATCTTTCAATGATTTATCTAAGTTGAAAATGGAAAAAAAAATATTTAAATGGGGAAAAATATTATAAGAATGTGTTGTTAGGTGTTTAAATATTGATTCAGATAGTGTAGATATTTTCAGTGAAAAATGTTAATAATGAGACTTACATTTGTGAAGTTCTAGTGGAATCCATTTTTACACGTAATATCTGAAAAAATTTTCAGATGCAATAAGTAATTAAAGCAAGCAAACTGAGATATTTATTGTCCCCCGCTTTCGGGGTCTCATTGGTTGAATTGCAAATAATTATAGCATTTTGCACCTGTTTTTTCTGCCCTGGATTGTTTCCCATACAAACATTGTTTAGAATTTTAGAACAAATATATTTGGTGGAAAATAAAGATAATGTAGATTTCATAATACACAATTTAATTCCCGTCCTCTCTGACTTTTCCCTGAGAGAAAACAAACCTTCCTTGATGGTCTCAGAGACCGTGAGAAATACATATATTAATTTATTTTATGTCCTGTCTGGACTTTTCTGATTTTTAGCTCACCTGAGCCGAAGGCTCAAGTGAGCTTTTCTGATCACATTTTGTCCGGCGTCCGTCTGTCCGTCCGTCTGTCTGTCCGTCTGTCTGTCCGTAAACTTTTCACATTTTCGACTTCTTCTCAAGAACCGCTGGGCCAATTTCAACCAAACTTGCCACAAAGCATTCTTCTCAAGAATGACAAACAATACATACAATGGATTCAAGTTTGTTCAAATGAAGGGCCAAGCCCTCATTCAAGGGGAGATAATTGAGAATTAGTGAAAATTGGGTGGAATGTTTTAAAAATCTTCTTCTCAAGAATGACAAAGCCATATTTCATCATATTTATTTGGAAGTATGCTCAGGTAGTGTAGATTCAAGTTTGTTCAAATCAAGACCCGGGAGGGTAGGGCAGGGCCAAAATGGCCGACCAAAGTTTAACATAGAAATATATAGGAAAATTCTTTAAAAATCTTCTTCTCAAGAATGACAAAGCCATAATTCATCATATTTATATGGAAGCATGCTCAGGTAGTGTAGATTCAAGTTTGTTCAAATCAAGACCCACGGGGGTAGGGCGGGGCCAAAATGGCCGACCAAAGTTTTACATAGAAATATATATAAGAAAATTCTTTAAAAATCTTCTTCTCTAGAATGACAAAGCCATAATTCATCATATTTATATGGAAGTATGCTCAGGTAGTGTAGATTCAAGTTTGTTCAAATCAAGACCCTGGGGGTAGTGCGGGGCCAAAATGGCCGACCAAAGTTTAAAGAAAATTCTTTAAAAATCTTCTTCTCAAGAATGACAAAGCCAAAAATCATCATATTTATATGGAAGCATTTTCAGGTAGTGTAGATTCAAGTTTGTTCAAATCATTACCCGGGGGGGGGGGGGGGGGGTAGGGCAGGGCCAAAATGGCTGACCAAAGTTTTACATAGAAATATATAGGAAAATTCTTTAAAAATCTTCTTCTCTAGAATGACAAAGCCATATTTCTTCATATTTATATGGAAGCATGTTCAGGTAGTATAGATTCAAGTTTGTTCAAATCATGACCCCAAGGGGTTAGGCGTGGCCAAAATTTTACATAGAAATATATAGGAAAATTCTAAAAAAAAAAAAAAATCTTCTCAAAAATGACAATGCCATAATTCAACATATTTATATGGAAGCATGTTCATGTAGTGTAGATTCAAGTTTGTTCAAATCAAGACCCCCGGGGGTAGGGTGGGGCCAAAATGGCCGACCAAAGTTTTTAAATAGAAATATATAGGAGTATTCTTTAAAAATCATTTTTAAAAAATAGCGAATCCATGATTGGCCATGGGACTACTTTTTGATTTAAACTTTACAATAAAAAGCCATTTTCTACTTTTTCCTACCCTTAGTGCTCAGGTGAGCGATGTGGCCCATGGGCCTCTTGTTGTTTAATTTAATTGCATTTATTTTTTTTAAACAATCTTATTCATTTGATGTAGACTCATCAAGAATGAGTATTATTCTCAAATATAAATAAACATATAAATAAACGTGTGTACAATGTATGCGTTTGTTGCCGGGGGGGGGGGGGGGGGGGGGGCTTTAGATGACTGAAATGTCCATACAAAATAAATAGAAAGACTATTAAATAAAAATTTTATCCATAGGTCTACTATACACTGCTTCAAAATATGGCGGCTAGATTTTCATTGAAAAATACACTATGCAATCTGACTATTGCATCAACCAAAAGAAGAACTTAGGATTCAGTGGAACTTTGGTCAAAGATTGTTAATGAGGACGCTATTTAAATAAAGAAAGTCCAAAGGGAGCTGAAAAAAATTATTCCTTTGACAGGGAAAGAAAGATGCGAAAAGCTTCTCTGAATTTCTATATTTAGAAGTTATAATGTTATGTTTACCTTCATATTAAGCTTTTCCAGTTTGCATGCTATTTAGATAGCAGCATTATTTGAAATATTCAGATAATATATTCGTTATTTTATTTCATTATTTCTTAAATGATATTACTAGGAATCAATTTTAAATCAGGATTATTTATATTTCCTTTTCCTCATATTTTTGATATTACAAGAAATTACTGTTGGAACGCTTTTTGGAGGTTTTTAACAAAATTATAAAGATTTACAATCCATCCATTAAAAAAGATTTATTTTGCAAAACAGTAAAATTTAACTACTGTACAGTTAGTGTATGTTCGTTTGTGAGTTAATTTTTGGCTTGAAAGAGGAAATACCAGAGATTTATAATTTTGAGAGGGAAAATTATGCAGTCGGAAAATTTTGTAATTGTGTGCATCGGTTATATAACACAGAGTTTGACACATCTGTTTCATACTTGGATATTTTACTTGAGAAAGATGTTAATGGTAATCTAACAAACAAGCTATATGAGAAACGTGACCACTTTAACTTTTTAATCGTCATTTCCCCTTTACTTATGCAGCAATATACCTTCATCACCTGAAAGCAGAGTATATTAACATGTATCTCAGTTGATTCTATACGAAGAGCATGCTCTCCCTATGCTCAACCATTCCCCATTTTATACTTATCTTTAGTCCATTATAAAGTGACTCCAAGCATTTATAGTTGGAAACACCAGTATTTACAAGCATACTTTTGAATTCAAGGGATGAAAAAGTATGTCTTTTTGAAATATATATACTCGTACATGTGGTTGTACACGTACAGTTTTTAATTACAGTACTAGCAATTGCTTTAA